GTCATAGGAACAAAATGGGTTTTTAGAAACAAAACTAATGAAGAAGGGGAAATCACTAAAAATAAAGCAAGACTTGTTGCTCAAGGATACTTGGAAGAAGAGGGAATTGATTTTGAAGAATCATTTGCCCCTGTTGCAAGGATCGAATCAATTAGAATGTTATGTGCGTATGCATGTTTCATGAAAATTCCTTTATACCAAATGGACGTAAAGAGTGCATTTTTAAATGGATAATTAAAAGAAGAAGTATACGTGAGTCAGCCACCAGGTTTTGTTGATCATAAACATCCTGATCATGTGTACAAACTGTCTAAGGCTCTTTATGGATTAAAACAAGCCCCCAGAGCATGGTTTGAAAAACTCTCATCATTTCTAAAAACAGAGGGCTTCACTCAAGGAAATGTTGATAAAACACTGTTTATTAAGAAAGAGAATGGTGATACACTAATTGTGCAAATCTACGTAGATGACATAGTTTTTGGATCTACAAATCCATCTATGAGTACTAAGTTCAGTAACTTAATGAAGTCTGAGTTTGAGATGAGCATGATGGGTGAGCTATCTCACTTTCTGGGGTTACAAATTAAGCAATTAGACTCAGGAATATTCATTAGTCAGACAAATTACACTGAATCAATGCTTAAGAAATTTGATATGCACTCAGTAAACCCTAGTACAACTCCTATGGCTACAAATTTGAAACTAGACAAGGATGAAGGAGGAACTCCTTTCTGTGAGAAGAAATACAGAGGGATGATAGGTTCACTCTTGTACTTAACAGCAAGTCGACCTGACATTCAATTTAGTGTAGGCTTGTGTGCACGTTTTCAATCCAAACCAAGAGAAAGCCACTTCAAAGCTGTTAAAAGGATCTTTAGGTACCTTAAGGGAACCATAGATATTGGACTATGGTACCCTGTAACTGATTCATTCGAACTAATTGGGTACAGTGACTCAGACTTTGGGGGAAGTCTAGTAGATAGAAAAAGCACAACTGGAACAATTCAACTTCTTGGTTCATCACTTGTGTCCTGGTTTAGTAAAAAGCAAGGTGCAGTAGCACTTTCCACAGCCGAGGCAGAATATATGGTTGCTGGGAGTTGTTGTGCACAAATAATGTGGACGAAAGCACAACTCTCAGATTATGGGTTTAAGTTAAACAACATTCAAGTATGTTGTGACAATACAAGCACGATAAGTATGACCAAAAACCCTGTTCAACACTCTAGAACCAAACACATTGAAATTAAATATCATTTTATCAGGGAGCTTGTACAAGTTGGTCACATCGAGCTTCAATTCGTTGAAACCGAATATCAACTAGCAGATTTATTAACTAAACCTTTTGCAAGTGAGAGATTTCTTCAACTCTGCACAGAAATAGGATTGAGATCCTTAAGTCGAATTGAAGATCTTTAAAGTAGACAACTCATTGTTCTGTGCTTTACATGCATTGGTGGAGAAAAATCATGATTATAAACCTCCAAACCTAAAACCTATTTTTCAGTAAGCTGATTGGATCATTAGCTCAAAGTATCTTTTACGTGTCTTGTTTTACTCAAAGTAAAACGCTCCATTTTGGCTCATGCCTGTCTCGTCCAATGCAACCCTCCTTTAGCTTAATCATTTCACAAACTAGAGTCTGCTGAGACTCTTCGTCTTCCAGGCCTCCTTCACTCCATTTTTCTCTATAAAAGGGAATAGTAACATCTCCTCCTCTCACATTGCTTTCAAACTCATCCACCAACTTGTCTATTCCCACAAACTCCGCTTTCAACCACAAAATGAGTGATCACCTTCCTCGCCCTTTCCGTTTTGATGGACTGGTGCACACATTCTCTGGCTACATGTTCCATGAGCCTTTGGTTGTTAACCACCATCGCTACCTTCAGCACTTCGACAAGCGAAGGCTCCACCACACCACCCAACTCGACCCATACGAATTTAACCTCTACAAGTATGATATAGTGTCCCTCATTGAAGGTCTTGGATGGGACTTCCTTCTTCGCCAACCAGTGCATCCTGCCTGTCCTGGTGCACTCAAGTATTTTTATTCAAATCTCAAGAGTCCTGGTATCAGCTCTAGGAGCTTTACCACTCTGGTATATGGTCATCTCCTGACCATACCAGTAGAGGCTCTGAATGGGATTTTAGGCTTCCCATCACAAGGGCTTGGGGTCGCTCACCCTTCTGAATTCTGGAAGCACGAGTTCAAAGTTGAGGTGGAATATGGCAACTTCTCAACTGAGCCAACTGGAGGCTCAGACATACCCATCCCTGTTTGCTGGCTGCCTCCAAGATTGAGGATTTTTCATCACTTCCTCACTCATGTCCTTTTTCCCCGATCTTTCAATCAAGACAGAGTCCTCCATATGGATCTGTGGATTATTGCAAGTGCTACTGCACGACGAAAGCTGGACTATTCAAGCATTGTGTTTGGTCAACTGCTGCCTGTTGGGGATGAAAATTACAGAGGATTAATACCATTTGGGTCGCTAATCACTCGTCTACTGATCAACCTCGGCGTAGATCTCTCTGAGTTTAGGAGTGTCTCCTCTACTATGTACATCAGTGCACTCAATGTGCTGATGGTTCTGGACCTTCCTACTGATATCTCTCCTCCCCCTCAACCATCTAATTCTCTTCTCGGTCCCCCTCCTAAGCCCTCAGGCATCAAGAAAACCAAGTCAGTTGGTGAATCAAGCAAGACCGGTGACTTGGTATTTACTATCTCTGAAGGGGACTCCTCGTCAGATGAATCTGCTGCCACAGCTCCTGCCTCCTCTCCTGCCTCCTAATTCTCTTCCTGTCCCTCTATCGTTCTGTCGCTTTTGTTAATCCTGTTGGTAGGATTTGTTGCTCTTAGTTAGGTTGTTCTTTTCTAGGGTTTTCTGCTTAGGGGGAATTTTAGCCAGGATGATATCCTGATGTTTTGGTGGTCCTTTTCTAGGACAAGGTCTTCATGTAATTCTGCATTTCAATGAATGAAATCCCCCCCCCCCTTTTCCTGGATTGCCTGTGCTGCTGCTTTCTGTTGTTTTTGTTTTTGCAGATGACTTCTCGGATGAAGGGGGAAATTGTTGAACCAAAACGACTCGACTTCCTGCGAACTAAAGTTACACGACGACGTTCTGGCTCTTCCTCTCTTATAACAAAATGATGCCGTTTTCACCTAAGAGATCATCCTTCGAAGTCAATCTCTGGACTCCTCGTTTGCTGATTGCAGATCAGCAATCTCGATCAATTTCCTTCTCACGAAATCCCTAGCTTTCCTTTATCCCGCTCCTCCTCGCACCGGCTCTATAAGAAAGACATCATACAGGCTACTGCAAGGTTGCTTCCTAAGTAACGGTCTACTCTTCTACTTAGTATAAAGCTGTAAGTTCCTCCATTAGCGAGGTGTGTACTTTGAGTGGAAATTGTGAGAACTTCTGGGTTTTGAATTTCTTTCAATTTGGATCAAAGGGTGACATCACTCTGGTAGAAAGAATCGCAGGGTATAAGTTTGTACTGGGTGATTCAATCTTGGGGAGTGAGTGTTTGTTGAGTGTTTTCTGTTTCTCTGTTCGAAAGAGCCAAGTTGCTTGGCTTGGCTAAGTGTTTTTGTACTAAATCTTTCCATTCAAATAAAAGTTTCATTTCAGCTAAATTGTAGAGAGTCATTAAGCAAAAGTTGATTACTGACTATTCAATCATCACATCACGCTGAGTTTACAATTTTTCCGTCAAGTAAAAAAAATGAACATCATGGGTTTGTCATTCTAAAACAAGCTATTTTCTCTAGTATAATATATATTATGCTATTATTTTATATCTTAGTGGCTAAAATATAATGTATTTTAAAGTTATTCAATGGTTCAACCACGACCAACCCAATTAGTCCAATTTTTATCATTTCAAATATATATTATGTAATTATTTGATATCATAATGATTAAATTATAGTGTATATTATAGGGAATCATTTGGTATTTGTTAGTAAAAAAACTAAACAGAAAGATCTATTTGGTTATTTTTAACATTAAAATTACCCTAAACATTTTCAGTTTCCTTTCGAAATTCTATAGTTTTATTCCCGAATCAGTGATGTGCAAAGGGCGAATTGCAGTCATCTCTTTTTTTTTTATTTTTTATTTTCAAAATAGAAAGTTTAAAAGTAAAGAATAATTAGAGTTTGACATGAGTCGGTCAAACATGCTGAATTTCAAGTTTTGGTCCGTTTTGATCAAGTCTAATTTATAATCACATGGTTCCCTGATACCAGATAAAAATCTCAATCCAAACCAGTTTTGCAGGTTTGTCCGTGTTTACCACCATTTTCTAGGGATACAGGAATGGTGGTTCCTATCCCAAATCGTGTTGTTCATTCTTGATTTCTTTAGATTTTATCATGGCTTGGCAAAAAACCAGAAAGCACAATGATGACAAGATGAAAGTTTTATAAAGCAAATTAATCGGCCAACGGGCTGAGTAAAAGCTAGCAACGATTGTGAGATGCTTATTTCCCGAAAACCGACGGGATAGGCGATTTTTTATTCGAAATTCTGGAATTCGGTTTCTATAAAACTTACTCCACCTCATTATATTACCAGAAGCAATATTGTTTCACATGGTAACAGGTACTTGATTTTGGTTCATAAGGCTGATTTTTTATTCGTTGCATCATTCATGTCTCTTGCCTACTAAAATTCACTATTTTTATCACGTGTTTCAAAAAAAAACTATACAACAATAAGCTATACACCCCATTACATTATTAAATTTCATATCTCACCTTCCTCCGGCCAAATGGTCAGTTCCACGCTAGTTAATTAAGATAGAAGGATCAAAAAGCAACATAAACCAGGAAAAAGCGAATGCAAAAGCGGAAAATGTGCGTCTTTCAAAATATTCTATGTCTCCCTCCTCAACTTATAATTCCTTATTCCATAAAAAAAAAAAACTTATAATTCCTTATTCTTTCATCACCTCCCTCTCTTTCCACCATTCTCTTCCTGCACCATCATCTCTCACTTTCCCTTTCTACCTTTCATTAATGAAAAATATCTCCAATAAGTTTCTCTTTTCATTTCTTGCCTGAGAATTTTGCTCTAGCCTGCATAATCCAAAAAATGCATTTCCCCAAGCTTGATGACTCGCCGATGTTTCGGCAACAGGTTCGTTCGTTAAACACCCGTCTTCCCTCCCTACTTTTTTCTCTCTTTAAGATGCAATTATTAATTGCTCAAAGATTCTGCCACTTTGAAAATTTGGAAATAAAAATGTTTGAGTTACATATATTTTCTATTGCTTGTATTTTGTTGGTGAATATAGATGCAATGTATGGAAGAAAATGCTGAAGTGTTGAGAGGAAGATGTTTAAAGTTCTATAAGGGATGTCGAAAGTATACGTAAGTTTTTTTTTTTTTTCTATTTTCTTCTTTAGTGTTCTTAAATCCCTAGTTCGTCTTTTTCACTAATAAAATTAAATTAGAGGCATGTTGTATATGTAAATGGCCATTCAACAAAGCTCTTTCTGATCATAATCTTATAAGCACCTTAATAAATATGAGATGAGAAGAAACATTCTTCCCTAATCATCTAGTATGATAAATGTGTTAGGAACTATTTAAGTCTGATGGTCTTAAGAATTTGGTTACTAGAATGTTAAATATGATTTACTTGGTTGGATGAATACGTGTCTTTGTTAAAAAAAAAAACAATCAATGTTATTTCTGATCAAGGTTGTCAAACCGGTTTATGCCAATGTGCCAGTTTAGCAAGTGGAATGGTTCGACCGGTGGCACATACCGGTTTGTGCCAGTTCATACCGGTCAATATTACAAATAAAATTATAAATGCTCATATTAAACATGACATTTAACGTCAATACTTAAACATTTATACTTGAATGCAACAAATAACATCAATATTTAACTTTTATACTCATAAAATAATTAATAAATTTTTTTATCAATTAAATTCACTAAAATAAGACCATTTTACTTAGAAATTCGTATATCGATCATGCCGGTCATACCAGTGGTGTCACGCCGGATTTATGACCGATATCGGTTAAATCAGGTTCAACCGGTGACACCCCGACCGGCGTGACAACCATGTTTCTGATTAATGGTATTGCTATTCTGTGTCCTATTCGTAAACTAAAAGTTAATTCCCAAATTTTCTCCAACTTTAGTTTCCAAATGATGTAACATTTTAAATCATCCCCTTGAAATTGCAGAGAAGTCTTGGGTGATGAGTATGATGGAGATGTTGCTTTTGCAAGTACTCTTGAAGCCTTTGGAGGTGGACATAATGATCCCATTTGTGTTGCTTTTGGAGGTATGTATGTATTAATTATCCTCTTAATGACAAATTTTCATGGATAGGTAAAAAAACTATACGACTCGAATTAAATTTCATGTATATTTCTAATGCCTTCCCAATTATTTTCTTATGTTGTTGGCAAGATGATATATTAATCTGAGGTTCAAAATTTATGAAGTTGATCTCTTATGCATGTGTGATTATTGTATAATATGTCCAATGAATTTTTGCAATGAATTTTGTTTGTCATTGGTACTAGGAAAATTCACACCAAATCATAGAAAAACATCATGCTTAGTCCTATTATAATGTATGTTACGATATCTAACATCAAGCTTGCTATTTTTTTACTGTTTTACATTTTTCTAGGCCCTGTTATGAACAAATTCACAATTGCCCTAAGAGAGATCGGGAGTTACAGAGAAGTCCTTCGGTCACAGGTATTAGAGATTGCAAGAACCACTTTTGTGTCATCTAAATAAGTTCCTTTTAAGCTCCAAATTCATTACAAACTCATGGGATCGATTCGGGCAAAATATTATGCATAGTATAGAGCGTTATAACCTAGTGATTTACGTAGTGACACATTCTTTTATGATTTTGTTGCAGGTAGAACACATGTTGAACGATAGATTGTCACAATTTGTGAATGTTGACCTACAAGATATCAAGGTACTCTGTGCTCATGGGGAGAATACTTTAATTTTATGCATGTCTATTTTCTACTTGAAAGTTCGGTAGAATTTATGATTGATTTTGTTGCTTGGTTGCTATGCCACTATGTTTATGTCATAAGCATGCAAATTTCACTACTGACCACTCTAAAAGAATGCTAACCTTTGAGTAGAGTTGGTCTCAAGCTAGTTGCTTTTTATGTTTGTCAAGCATAGTGTTTCCCTAAACTAGCATAATTCGCTCTTTGCTTCCTTCTTCTTTGATTTCATTTTGTTGCCATTACTATTCCATTTTTATGCCCAAATTTCTCTAAACTTTAGACATTTTGTGATAAGAATTTAGATTTGGTGAGGAAAATAAATCCTTGGTATAGTTTATTGAACTTGATGACCATGTCTATCATTGTTGCAGGAAGCTAGAAAACGTTTTGACAAGGCTTCCTTAATATATGAACAGGTTGAATATTTCAACATACATGATTTGACTAATAATATTTCATCTATCTTTTATCTTTCATTTTTCAGGTTCTATTATTACTATTGTGTATCTATCATGTCATTTCAATTATCTATGTTCTTGAGTACTATTCATTAGTTTATGTCTTACCCATTGTAAAGTAATAATGGTGATTTCAATACTCTTCTAGTTCCATATTTGGATAACTTGAAGTTGTTGATAGTAAACTTATGAAGACCCAATTTCTTAAATATAAAATTGTTGTATTATGCTCATTCCTCATGGGTTCTTGAATGATTTAAAATGGAAAGATATTTGGGATCCAAAACTACAACATATTGTGATGCTAAAATTTTCTGAAAGGATAATTTCTCAAACAATTATGTCTCTAGGATGCTACATATCCTCCAGATTGATGAGAAAGGGGACTATTTACTGTGTTTTTAATATGTGAATGTATGTGCTTTTGTGATGCCAATCTCTGAATGTGAGTGACTTTCACTTGAGAGTCAAGTTTTAATGTCGAATAGTGCCTATGGTTCAACTATTTATCTTTAGGTTTGAACTTTAATGATATTTGGTCTTGAAACATTAACACATTGACAATACTTTCGAGAATTTGATTGTTTTATACAATTCATGTATCTTTATGATTCTCAATTGACCATACCGATGTAGGCACGAGATAAGTTCTTGTCATTGAGAAAGAGTACTAGGATGGATGTAGCCACAACAATAGAGGAGGTATGTGTCTAGTGTCAAAACATTTTTCTTGATAGTACCATTTAATTTAGTACAATGATTAACAACTCCACCTTTTAAAGAAAAATTAGTTTAGACCTAATTGTATAGAGACATTCCAGGAACTACATAATGCAAGAACATCTTTTGAGCAAGCACGCTTCAATTTGGTAAGATTTCCTATCACCATGCAAGAAACAAGTTAATAATATTACTACTTTGAAACGATGAAAATTGGAAAGTACCTTTACTCTATCCAGGTTAGTGCTCTCTCTATTGTTGAAGCTAAAAAAAGATATGAGTTTTTGGAGTCTGTAAGTGGCATGATGGATGCTCATCTACGATTTTTTAAGCAGGTATTCTTCCTCGCAAATACATATATCCCTCTACTCTTTTTTTATTTCTTTGTTCCAATTTTGAATTATATTTCTTGTAGGGATATGAGTTACTACATCAAATGGAGCCCTTTATTAACCAGGTCAATTGCTCATATTCTTTTGAAGTAATAAAGTATATCTAATTTTTTTTTTGTTTCTTAACAATATATAAAACAATTATATCAATGTTATAGAAAGCATAAATAGTAACATGAATGTCTCAATCTAAGAGATTGTATTACTGTCGTAAGAACTAGCAGGTAGACCATCAGAACCATGTCCTCTGAGCATTGAACTCATCAGGAATTAGAACTTTCAATTGAAGCGTGGATCGAACTTTAAATTGGAATATGTGAGCATTTTGTGGAAAACAGACACATTTGATTTTCGTGTCATACTACCATAACACATTATTAATAAATAAAAATAGTATTACAATTTTTATTATTATTTTGATATTGGATAATATTTATAATAATATTTTATCAAACTATATAACTACTTTTGTTTATTTGACCTTTCTGCTCCTAAAACAACCTTTTCTTTCGAACATTTATTTCCCTCAAAAACTTTTTTATGCCTCCCTACTTTCTTTCCTCTCTTAAGAAATGGCTAAATTACACGATTGGTCACTCAAATTAGATAAATCTTTCACTTTAGCCACCCAAATTACTTTTCTTTCTCATTATATATTTTTTTATAAAAGAATTACGTAGGTATATTTTAGTTATCTTCTGGCGTAGGAATTATCATATATTATCGTGGAACATGACTAACTATGTATGTATATTTTAATAATATTATGGTGTAGGAACATGTCACGTAAATAGGTGATCATGATAATATATTTTACTAAGCATGTTAGCATTTTGACTTCATAATATTATCAATAACTAATGCAGTGCACACAAAAGTTTGTTATTTTTTTAGTATATAATTATATGAGTGGATTAGTATACATATTTATAGTATTACAAATAAAATATTACATTGTTTGTTTGAAATAATACCAAAGAAGGTTGTTCTTTGATTTCTCATATTTTTCAACCCGAAATGAATATGCTATAAAAATTAACTAAGTGTTTGAATTTGGATAGTTATTGAATTTTGGCTTTTCATTATTTTTTTCCATTTACGGTTTTGTTCAAAAAATTTTATCTATTATTGAATATATCATAAATAAAACTTAAACATAAGTTATTTTTGTTTATTAATAATTTTTTTATTATAGATATAAAATATAATAGAAATCTTCGTTGCTTTAATTAATGTCAAATTTAGGGGAAATGTTTTTATAATTAAGTCGAATGTCAACGGGTAAAGCAAGAGATCACATTAGAAGGTCAGGTATGAAACTGTTTCATGAGATGAGTAGTAATCTTGTTGTGGTTGATAGCATCACATAGAATTTATCACATTGGTTACACTCTAAAATATATTAATTTGGGTCTCGCAGATTGTAGGTTTGAATCTCAGTGATGATTATATATCTCTTTATTTTTTTTAGCTTAGACGAACATAAAAATTTATAGAAAAACTAAAATAATAAAGATGACATGGAAAATTATAAAGTTTCTTGAATCTTACGTGGCAATAGATTGCTCTAAAACAACTATAATATAAGTTATAGAAGATAGAAAGATAGATGCTTACTATATGATGGCCAAATATCCAAAACATGCCTTTTTTCCCCCAAAAAAAGTTCATTTAATTAACCCTTGACATTCTTTATTATGTTTGAATACACTCCTCCCCTAGAAATCTAAATATGTACTTTAGTCATTAACTTGTGGGAGTTGTCTCAATTGATGTAAAGTTATTGGTTGATATGGTATATAGGTCCTAGCTTATGCACAACAATCAAGAGAATGTTCGAACTATGAGCAAGCTTCTCTAAATGAAAGGATGCACGAATATATGAAACAAATTGACCGAGAAAATAGACAATCCCTACATGGGAACAACGGTTCTCCTCATGCTGATGGAAGACCATTTGTTAGAAGTTCCCAAAAAGTGATAGAGGCAGTTATGGAAACTGCAATGCAAGGAAAGGTACTCTTGTGCATAATTAAGATCATTCTTCTTAATTAAGATATGGGGTTTACACTAATTATGTTTTTGGTTTAAATGATGAGTCTTTCTTTGCTCATATTTTTTTTTGGAACAATCATATCATAGGTTCAAACCATCCGACAAGGGTATTTGTCTAAGCGATCTTCAAATTTAAGAGCTGATTGGAAAAGAAGGTTTTTTGTGCTCGATAGTCGAGGAATGCTTTACTACTACCGAAAACCCTTCACATGGGGACATGTATGTGAAGACTTCTATGTTGTTTCTAGTCTTTTCATAATTTACAACACTCTGTGTACTATTTGCTTAATCATTCTACATATTTTTAGGCAGGTGGGGCCCAATCAGCTCTGCAGAGGAATACTGCCTCTGAGAATGGTCCTGGATTGTTGAGTAGATGGCTCTCTTCTCATTACCATGGTAGCGTTCACGATGAAAAGACCGCTGCACGTCACACAGTAAACCTACTAACATCGACAATTAAGGTCGATGCAGATCAGACCGATCTGAGATTCTGCTTCAGAATTATTTCGCCTGTGAAAGTCTATACTTTACAGGTGCATTTAAAAAATTCTCATGTATACCCTATAACTTGATAATAATTTGTCAAATATTTTATTATTTATTACAGTTTGAAAATCATCATTTAACTAAACTATGTATATGATCCATTAACATTTTATATTATGGGGTGCAGGCTGAAAATGCTATCGATCAAATGGATTGGATCGAGAAGATAACTGGAGTCATCACTTCGTTATTGAGTTTCCAGACACCTGAAAACGTAAATCTAGGGAAAAATTTATTGTGTGGTTCTAGATTTTGGACTTAAATCTTATTACTAATAATTCATTGGGGAAAAAACAAAAATACTTCACAGTGTATTTCTGCAGCCTCCATGGGATTCAGCGATGGTCAATCTTGTAGTGATGGTGGCTCATTAGCAGATTCTCATGACATCGATAATACAAATTTTGAGGAGGTCGCATCTTGTAATCTGATCGCCGGCAGACATTTGAATCCATTGCGAAACTTGCGGCCAATCTGCAGTATGAAAGCTGAAAAGCCAATAATTCTGCTAAGAAGAGTAGCCGGGAATGACAATTGTGCAGATTGTGGTGCACCTGAACCAGACTGGGCTTCCCTAAACCTTGGAATCCTTGTATGTATTGAATGTTCTGGAGTTCACCGCAATCTTGGTGTGCATATATCAAAGGTAAACTTACAAAGATCTTTGTGCTTTTGAAAAGTTTATGCTGCTCCCTCTACATAAAACAATGAACTATCATATCAAGATCTAGGGCCTGATTTGCTCAAAATTTAGTTTTAAGATCTATCATTTTAATGCACAAATGTATTAAGACTTATTTGGGTGTCTTTTGTGGAGCACTTCTACTATGCTTTAAAAGTATTGGTGCTTTAAAACACAACTTTAAGTTGTACCATAACGTTAAAGGTACAAGTTAGAGTTGTACCAGAAGGGAATTTGACCTTTTGTTGTGGTACAACTTCAACTCTTCAAGTTGTACCATAAGTTAAATGTACAACTTTTGTTTGTACCATAAAGAGATTTTACAAAAGAGAGTATAGGTACAACCTAAAGTTGTACCATAACGTTAAAGATATTAGTTCAAGTTGTACCATAAAGACAAAAGCTAAAACACCACTCGTCTTTTGTGATGTCTTTTTTCCTTTGATCTTTTGCGTTGTATATTTTTCAAGGTCACAACCATACAAAACTAATCAAAGAATGCTAAGATCTCACCATGCATGAATGATATAGAAAATAGGGGGGTTTTGAAATTTTATAAATTTTTTGGATCTCTTGTTCAGTATAAATACAGAACATCTCATAAGAGCATTTGAAGATGGCCGAGTGTTCAAATAATTGTTTCTGGTGATAGGTAAATAATTAACAACTTAATTATTAATCATCTTATTAAAAAAAACAACTATGTTAATTTAGTTTTTGAATTATGGAACCGTAAACCTTGTACAAAAGGGTTCCTTTTCTTCTTCTTAGGGATAAGGAGTTACTGGGTCAATCTCAATAATCCTTATTCAATTAAGAAAACTCCCTCAAACCCACTAGAAATCATGATCACGTCACCATTAACAATTATTTATATGGTTAACAAGATTATCCATATCGCACAAGGATTCTTAGTCTAACTCCAATTAGTTAACCTTCCTTGCATCACCACCTCTAAAGCCTTCTCATTCATGTCCATGATGTGCGACCAATTAGCCCTTTGTTTCATTTTGAATATAAAAAAAAAAATTGAATGTAGGTAAGATCATTAACACTTGATGTCAAAGCATGGGAGCCATCTGTGTTAATGCTGTTCCAATCGCTTGGCAATAACTGTGCAAACTCAATCTGGGAGGAGTTAATGAATTCAGATCAAACTTCTTCCGCTACCACCACCATTCAGGCTACCGAAGAACTACCAAAATGGTAAATTGACCGGATGCATCTAGTTACAAAACTCAAAACTACAATTTTCCTCCTTTCATCTCATTAATCTACCTCCATGTTTCTCTGTGTCTTCTAGCCCCTTAAAAGCTGACAAGGCACAACCCTGCAACATAAAAAAGCCTAGCCAGAACGATCCCATTTCACTCAAGGAACAGTTCATCCATGCAAAGGTGATCAGTTCAGTGCTCAACAGAAGGGGTGAAGTACTGGTTTATTTCCTAGAACTGAAATGATTCTTATGTGTGTTTTGTTTCAGTACAAAGACAAGATTTTTGTTGGCAAGATTCAGGACATTGTGGCGGTTTCACAACAGCTGTGGAGAAGCGTCTCAGCGAACGACAAAAAAGGAGTTTATCGGCAGATTGTATGCTCTGGAATTGATTTAAATGCCGTCCACAGGCAGTCCTTGATTGGTAATAAGTAGCCAGCACTTGTTAAGACTTTGAAGCTTGGAGTATAAGCAAAGAAATCTATGTAATTAACTTTAGGCCCCCCCAACAAATTTGGTGCAGGTGATCAAGAACATCTCCCGACGGAATTATCTGATAACTGCTCTCTCCTTCACCTGGCCTGCCTAAATACTGATATTGGAATGGTGGAATTGCTTCTACAATATGGAGCAAATGTGAATGCGTTCGATTCGAAGAACCAGACTCCGTTGCATCACTGCATTATGGGCAAAAGAAGTGCCATTGCGAGATTGCTTCTTATGAGGTAGTTATCTCTTTTCCTCAGATAATTTTTGTTAAGTCTCGTACGAGGGTCTGTAGAAACTGTAAGGAATTAAGTACCATACACGGGCATGTATAAGATCCAGCATGACCTTTTCCAAAAAAATCGAGTTATTGGGACCAACTGGTTTTATGACATGTTCTCAGAGCTGGTTTGTTCGTGAGGTCACGTGTTCAAATCCTCACGACCCCCCAAGCGTGCAAACTTCAAGTCCATGAGTCGGCTTTTCATTGGAGGGGGCGTGTAAGGAAGTGGTTAAGTACCATACACGAGCATATATAAGATCCAGTATAACCTTCTCCCAACAACTCGAGTTATTGGGACCAACTGGTTTATGAGAGACTAACATAGTTCAATTAATGTAATACAGGGGTGCAGATCCACGAGCTGTGAGCAGAGATGGTAATACAGCTCTTAAGCTTCTGTCACAGTCCTCCCTCGATGATCATGAGCTAGAAGGTCTCTTGGCAGCAAAATGAAAATGGCATAGCAAAAACGTGTAGCCGGATGATCATTACATAATCTGGAATCTACGGAACTCAATGTTGCAAGTGATAGAGATAAAGATCAACTGAGCTTCAAGAGTGGCAACATTTGGTGTCATCTTAATTTCTAACCCTTTAAATCACTTGAATTTTTCATGCATTGCACATCTACCGTGCGGTCTATGAGTTTTGATAGTATATTTTGGTAGGGCTTTGTGTCTAAATTATTTGCTTTGCTCGCAATTGGAGTATTGCGATATCATTTCAAGATCCCCTAGCTCTCTGCTTTTTTGTTTTATGCTTACTTTTTTGCTTGTGTGAATTGGAGGGTGATCATAGGCAAAATAGCAATTTTAATTTACTTCTCCCTGTAAAGGTATCATGGAGGTGTCTATAACATGTTTTGTGAAACCTAACCGGAAGTCATACCAGATTCATTTGTGGTAGGGTATTTTATGGTATGATCATTGTGGCTTCGACCATTTTATACTGGTAAAATACCATTTTTATAATAAAAAAATAGTTTAATGTTAAAAACCCGTACCAACAAAATCAGGGTACCGTTCCGGAGTAATACCGAATAAAATCGAAAGATTCCAAAATATTAGTTTAATATTATGCGAAGCAAGGAAAGACGGTGGAATTTCCCTTGAGTACTTCCTAGTTAGGTTACCGATTCGAGAAGCGGGAGCTAGAGCGGAAGCGGGAGCGAAAGCGCAAGAACATCTATCGTCTAAGAATTATGTATTCAGAGCGTTGATAGAATGCTAATATTATATTATATTAATTAATAACCAACCAAATTTTGGATGAAATACTAAATTTATAACCAAAAATTAGAAAAACCCAGCAGGTACAACCTAGACTATAAGGAAAGAGATTTAATAAGCCCAATTAATCTATCAGACTAACGGTTATCATTATTTTTATTCATAAATGAATTACCTAAATTTGTTCCTTTGTTATTGATTTTATATATTGTATTATATATTGTGATTTAAAAAAAAATGATAAAGAAAGTACATTGTACTCGTCTCTCTTCCCACTACAACCCTCAAACTTCTCCCAAATGGACCCCCACTAATTCTCTCTCATCTTCTTCACAAACTTTCCCAACTATTCATCTTCAACCCTTCTTTTGTCCCCACCCTCAAGGGATGCTGCCAACCGACCGTGAGGGAGCTGCGGTTAACCGGCCAACCAGGGCCGTTTCGATTTTAAGCTCGATTAGCCGCATACCAAAAAACTTATCCAAAACGCTGACGTTTAATCCATTAAAAGAAGTAGAAAAAACTCAAAAAACAAAAGTGATTGGGCGTCTTCCTCAAATGCCACAACAATAGTTATTTCTTTCCATTGTAGATATGTTCCTTCTCTATTTCCTTCTCTCCATTTTTAACAGGAAGAAGCAGCAATCGCAGGGGAATGGAAGCACGGCAGGAACCCGTCGACGCGAAGGAGGCGGAGGCGATGGACGCGGGGAGAGGAGACGCTCGCCTTCTCCGTTGATTTTCTGGGAACGGCGGCACGGCTTGACAAGACGAAGGCGGAGGCGACGAAGGGCCCGGGCAGAGGACGTGCTCGCCGGCGCGACGCGACGTGACGGAGGAGGACGAGCGCGACAACAATTGAGCGTGTAAGCGGAGACGGACGAGCGCGGCGGCGATCGAGTGTGACGGTAGAGGCGGACGACCGACTGGTCTGGGACGGAGACTCGACGCGGGGAGGAGTGGATTCGGCAAAAACAAATTTTGGATTTAGGGTTCGTCTAGAACCAGATGGGGAGGGGAAAGGTTAATTGGATTCCGTGCATGCTTTTATTCCTCCTCTTTTTTACATTTTCGGTTGTGGGTCGGTTAGTCGGTTAACCGCCTTTGGTTACTCAGCTAACCGAAGAACCCTTCACCCTTGCCAAACACCGATCGCGACTAATAACTGGTCGGTTTTTGGTTAGTGGCTAACCATAATTAGTGGTTAAAACCGTCGGTTAGCCGCTAACCGGAAACCGACCTGTCACCCTAGAGGGCACACAGGACAGGCGACAGGGAAAAGTTTCAAAGCTTAATTCTTGAGCATAAGTGATCCAAAAATCCTGTAAGTAACGCCTAATCCATCTATACATCATAATTTATCGATTTAGAGCTTTAAAACGACTTTTTGGATCAGGAATTTCTTAAGTTTCCGATCAAAGAAATTAGGGTTTCGGAGGTTCCGGAAGCTGGATTAAGCACAAATTTCATATATGAGCTTCCTGCAGCGAGGTAATTAATCCTCTGGTTCTAATCTAAGAATTTCGGCTATTATTTAGGTCGAAGTCGGAATCGCTGAATTTAGCTCCAACTAGGGTTTGATGTGTTTTTATCGAGATTTTGACTCGGAGCCTAGAACTAACAATGACGGGGACACCACATGGGATATACTAGAATGGTTACAGATTTTGATTCCGAGTTTGTTGAGAAAATCAAAGTTTTAGTACGAGAAGTTAAAACCGGTGTTTGAACTACCAGAACTGGTGAGGGATTAACACGACATACCGGGTTTGTCGTATCACGATAATTATACTTATGCTCAATGCAGTCAAAATCGTGCTTTAAAACTTAAAAACTTACGATTTTACGTTTCTAGGTCACTAAAACGGTTCTACACAAAATCTCAGTTTTTATAACTTATGTAGTTAAAAACTCCGATTTAAAACTTAAAAACTTATGATTTTACGCTTCTAGATCACCAAAACTTTTATATGTAGAAACTCATTTTTTACTACATTGCTTATGCTTAGAATTGATCTAGGTGAACTAGAATGGCATGATTAGGGGTGTATGGACTTTTCTGCTATATGATGAACCATGGACTGATGTATGATATTATTGACTTGCCCTAATCCATATGGACATTATTTATGTTGATGATTGTATATATGTTTCCATATGTGGGTTTAATTGTGGATATGACTTATGATGGTTTGATAAAGTGATTGAGTATGATTTTTCATGATTATTGTATTTGGACTCACAAGTGGGCAAATATATATCTCATGATGATATTATGATGTTTTAAGGAGAATGACTTGCACGAGGGTTCATCCCGAGGAAGTGCAACTATACCATTCCTGGTTTACCTATGTTGAGCAAATTATGATCAGGTTAAGTACATGTGCAAGTAACATTATGATTAAGCAAGATGAGATGTGAATCATGTATAAGGATACCAAATATGAGTGTTATGATCTCATGGTCAATTACATAGTAATTAGGGCTCCCCATGATATTACTCTATTATGATAAGTATGATAGTCACACCTCTCATGTGGTGGTGACTGAAGATTTTTCACGAGATATATGACCACACCCAGAGCGGTGTCGGGGTATGACTACACCCATAGTGGTGTGGGCTATGTATGACCACATTCGACGGGATGTTGGGGTATGTATGACTACATCCGACGAGATGTGGGGTATGTTTTCCGGGAGAGTTATTAGCATGGGAGTAGACAGATGCCTATAAGTAAAACATGATAAGACGCATATGCGTAAGTCAAGGTAGTTGAGTCTTTTGCCTATTGGGATGTTGGATAGCTGAGGTATGATCCTAGTGCTTTGGCTTTTTTTCTAGATGTATGATAGGGGTATGTTTTGTTATGAACTCACGATACAATGATTGTCTCACTCAGCTATGAGCTTACCCTCTTTTATCCTTTTCCTCTGCTTATGCCATGTGTAAGCAGATCATCAGCAGCAGCAGTAGATAGGTGTATAGGTGGGAGATGAGCAAGAGTTGAAGACAACATGAGGTATGGTCTTCAGCTATTCTATGCTTGGACGACTACTCGGGATTTTGGTTAGTGATCCACACCTTTTTGTAAAAATATTTTGAGAATATTTTTCATGTGCATACTAGCTTCTGATGTAGTGTGAGATATCCACAGGTGTGGAAAGTTGATGATGATATGTGTATATTTGTGTAATTATGTAAGTTGTGACGATTATGGCATGTATAAGTATGGTATGCAGTTGTAGAGTATGAAAATTATGGCTATGGCTTGAAAAACCAATTGTATATGGTTATGAGTATATGTGTATGTCTATGGATGCAGGGATTCAGATAAATTAATTTGCAGGATTTAGTTACAAGAACTGTCAGCCCATTACGCGAGTCATTCATGTCGAAATTTTTATTTGGGTAAATTTTGGTAATTAATGTAACACCAGTTTTAAATTTCGCTGCAATTGTATGAACAATATGATTAGGCGAAACGTATAGGGTAGGGTGTTACAGTTTGGTATCAGAGCCTGGTTCCCTCTTTTTGTTGTTATGGCGTACTATGCCCAATAGGAGGTTAAATACTTCTAAGGAGGGGACTTAAACTAGGAATTGAGTTTTACATGATTATGCGTATTGTATGCTAGATGGAATTAGTTGCATCATAGTTTTCAAAATTGAGTTTTGAACTTATTTTCCAAATAATTATTGGGAAAATTTTGTTTTAACCAAGTGAGAGATTTGGTTAAGATTTGATTTTTTACTTGTAGCTTGCACGGAACGTTTGAAAATGTTCCTACTGACCAGTCAAGAGTAGGAATGTCAACAAAAATCGAATCCATTGGTACCCACCCGACCCAACCCGGTCAACGCGGGTAAAACCCGTGTTGATGGGTTTTAGGCCGGGTTTGGGTTTAAACCCGTTCACTATTCATCAGGTTGGGTTTGGTTTAGGTGTACCCGACCCATGGGTACCCAGCCACACGCATATAATTAATTTTTCCGGTATATTAAATATTATACGCAACTAATCTTCTTTATGTTTGTGGAGATATATCTAATTTTTTCTTTCTAATTGTGTAGGATGAAGTTGATATTATCGAGTGTAGAGTGAAGAAACTTAATTGACGAGGAAGAAACTTTCAATTAATCATGTTGTTTATGTATAATCTTTTATTTGCTTCAATTTTCTTCAGTTTTTTAGATTGGTGTTGAACAATTTGTATGGTTAATTTGTGATTTGCTTGAATTTTCTAAAATAGTGTTATATATATGGATTATTTGTATTGAGAGATTGATATTTGACTTTTATTTTGATAAAAACTTGTTATTGTAAATTTTTTACGACAAACCCATGGGTACCCATGAATCCGCGAATACCTAGTGGGTTGGGTTGGGTTTGAGTTTTCCAAACCAAGTGGGTTTTACCCCGGGTTTTTTGCACGGATAAACCCATGAGTTTGGGTTTGACAAAACACGACCCAACCCGACCCATTGCCATCCCTAGTCGAGAGGAGTGGGGGCGGGTGATGCAAGGCCGCCAGTATTAGACTATGCAAAGATGAAAAGTTTGGGAGGTAGGGACTTTAAAGGAGATGTGAGTCCGGATGCTGTGGTAGAGTGGTTGAGGGAGATGGGAGATGTGTTTGAGTATCTTTATGTCATGGAGATGTAAGAAGCAGGATCGGGTCTCTAAGTCTTCCACGGAAGCGGAGTACAGGTCTATGTCAGAGGTTAGTTCAGAGTTAGTATGGCTGCAGCGGCTTCTAGGAGAGCTGGATGTTGAATGCAGCATGCCTATGAAAGCTGTTTGGAGACAATACGAGCGCTATCTGGATAGCTACCAATCATGTTGTACATGATCGTACTAAGCACATTGAGACGCATGTGCATTACATAAGGAAACTCGCGACAGAGGGAATCATTCAGCTTAGTTATTTGTCAACAGAAGATCATACAACAGATTTGTTGACAAAAGCTGTTGGAACCAATTGTCATTGGTTTCTCTCTAACAAATTGATGTTGCATAAGCACCATCAATTTGAGGGAGGGTGTTGAAATTAAGTTCTTTACTTAGTTTAGGTAGCTTATGGTAATTGTCCCTATTACATGAGTTCCTAGACTAAGCCGGTTTAGGGTTACGTCTGTTATGTAACCTTAAACTATAAATACCCTCTCTATATATTATGTAAGACTAAGTTGAATAAGATTAATTCTGGAGAGTGCTACCTCTCTCGTGGACTAGTACCATAAATCCGGTGTTCGTGTTCTTGATTTCTACTTCTTATCACTCTAACCCCATCTAGGGATGGCAACAAAACCCAAACCCACGGGCACCCACCCGACCCAACCCGGTCAATGCGGGTAAAATCCGTGTTGACGGGTTTTGGGTCGGGTTTGGGTTTAAACCCGTTCACTATTCATCGGGTTGGGTTTGGGTTTATGTAAACCCGACCCATGGGTACCCGCTCACACCAGCGGCGGATCCAGGACATAGTAGAGCATTGGGCCGCATTTCATTATAAAATTAGATATCGTAAAAAATTATATTTTTTTTACATTATCTTATACACGTCAATCTTTTAATATAGTGAAATCATCAATAAAGGAGTCTACATCCATACTAATCGCATACTACTCTTTTACAAATAAAATAGTTAACCAATCGCTGAGAAATTCATCGCTCATTTTGTTGTGCAAATCATTTTTCACATGTTTCATTGTTGAAAATGTTCTCTCCATAGTAGCTGTTGAAACGTACAATGTCAACACTAGACAAATCAATTACCTAATCAATTTGTATCGTGTATCCATCCTTATTTACACCACCTGCTCTAGTGATTTTTTCAAGTGAACAAATCTCATATTTCTTTTAGCCTTTTACGTTTTAGAATTTTAGGTTTCATTGTTTGTTTTTCTTTAGACGAGACTCATTTGAGCTAGAATTTATAGACTAAATTTAGAGTTATGATTTGAATATGTTTATCTTACCCATTTTCCTAATTACACACAATTTTATTATAAAATAACACTGGGCCAAATGACTAAAATCGATAAACGCATAAGGCTATACTAGTTCCGGATCCAGAGGAGGGCTGGGCCGTGGCCCGGGGTGGCCACCCCTGGATCCGCCACTAGCTCACACCCATATAGTTAATTTTCTCGGTATATCTAATATTTTAAACAACTAATCTTTTTTTTTTTGTCATAATCTTATTTATGTTTGTGGAGACATATCTAATTTTTTCTTTCTAATTGTGTAGAATGAAGTTGATGCCATCGAGTGGAGAGTGAAGAAACTTAATTGAAAGGAAGAAGCTTTCAATTAATCATGTTATTTATGTATAATTTGTGATTTGCTTCAATTTTATTAAGTTTTCTAGATTGACGTTGAACAATTTGTATAGTTAATTTGTGATTTGCTTGAATTTTCTAGAATGGTGTTTTATATATGAATAATTTGTATTGAGAGATTGATATTTGACTTTAATTTTGATAGGAACTTGTTATGTAAATTTTTTACGACAAAAACCCGTGGGTACCCATGAACCCACAGATACCCAGCGGGTTGGGTTGGGTTTGAGTTTTTCAAACCCAATAGATTTTACCCCGAATTTTTTTCACAGATAAATCCATGAGTTTGAGTTTGAGTTTGAGTTTAGCAAAACCCACCCAACCCGACCCATTGCCATCCTAACCCCATCCCATGTCATCGTTAACCGTACAAAACACGACAGAGCAATTTTCTTTTATTTCATTTTTCGGTAAGGACGACAAAGCCAATTTCCCCCGTAAAACAGAACAGCTTTTCCACCCGACTAAAGCCGTCGGGAAACAGATGGCGTTACTGTTGACATAAACACTACTGATGGCTCTTAAGTATCAACCAATGGGCAGTCGACAGATACACTAACGGCAAAACTAGCGCCGTTTGTGGTCTCACCCTCCGGAACCGGAAGCCTCCTTTATTAAATATTTCTATCTATCTGGTCCCTGACCCCTCTGACGCCACAACCCACCGGCTGTAGGCAGTCAATGCGACCGGTGAATGCCAGTTCGCCCAAGGAGACCGGTTAAAAATTGACCGCAGTTGAAATGATTGCCCGTAGTTTTGACCACTCTGGTTAAGTCTCGACTACTCCCCCAGACAAAGAGAGAGAATGATAGAGCAGAGCGAGACAAGGAGGTAGAGAGAGAAGAAGCAAGAGAAGGGAAAGAGAATTGCTAAGCTGCTCAACACAAAAAACCTGTGGTGGTTGCAGAGAGGATAGAGAAGTGAGAAAGGGTTAAGGAAGGCGAGGAGAGAGAGAGAGAGAGAGACAGGTGGAGTAGATTTTCCGTGCAATTGAGAGTGATTTTCGGTTTCTCTGTGATTGTGTTGTTGTTTGGTGGGGGATTTCTTTGCTCCGATCGCAAACTGGAGACATCGAAAGGCCGGAGATGGTGGATTAGTGTGGAAATTTCAGCTGGTTTTCAAGGGATCTGATCCTGTGGAGGTCATAGGTTTTCGTTTATGGCGTCTTCCGAGATTTCGATGAAAGGTAACAGCGGGAACGTCAGAGGAGAGAGCTTTACTTCTGCTTACAGCGAGTCTAACGACGGTAGGAAAGCTATGGATAGCCAGAAAGGTGCTCCTGTTGCTCATTCCAGTGCTCCCATGGGTAAATTCCTGTTTTGAGTATCTTTCTATTTCATGTAAAATTGCGTTGAGCGATGTGTCGATTTCCTTATTGAATCTGGTTTTGCTGTTCGTTGTTCTCTCTTTTTCTTATTGTGTTCATCGTGTTTAGACGCTGAAGCTGCGCTGTACAAGGAGCTATGGCATGCATGTGCTGGTCCTTTGGTGACGGTTCCTCGTAAGGGAGAGCTTGTTTTCTACTTCCCTCAGGGACACATCGAGCAGGTTGATTTCACATACTCGCTAGCCCTCTCTGAAACTCTCTTTACTCTTCCTCTTGCAAATTCAGTTAGTTTCCTCCCTTACTACTTTCTTTATTCCATGAGTTGCTCAAATTTGCCGATCCAATGATGGCTTTAGGTTGAGGCATCCACCAACCAGGGGGCAGACCAGCAGATGCCACTGTATAATCTTCCGTCAAAGATCCTATGTCGCGTGCTTAATGTTGAGCTCAAGGTAAGGCCATTAACTCTATGATTGTGGAACAAGTTTTTTCCAAGTCTGGATTTTTCTTGTTTTCGTTCTGCTAACGATGCACTTCATGAAATTAGGCCGAAGCAGACACTGATGAGGTGTTTGCACAATTGACCTTGTTGCCGGAGGCTAATGTAAGTGATTTTAGACTTTTACGCATTGCCATTTTTGATAAGTCCTACTTGTTTGAGATTGTACTGTAAGTGCCCTTGATATTTGTTCATTGTTATTTCAGCAAGATGAGAATGCAGTGAAGAAGGAGTCACCACCGCCTCCTCCTCCGAGATTTCATGTACACTCGTTTTGCAAGACCCTGACTGCATCCGATACCAGCACTCATGGTGGATTTTCAGTGCTTAGGAGGCATGCTGATGAGTGTCTGCCACCACTGGTATGCTCTTATTTATTTATCGATAATACTGGTACGCTTTTGCCTTGCAGGGCCTGGTGCGTTTGTATTTGATTTAAACTGCATCAGTCTACATTTTTACCTTTGCTAAATGCAGGATATGTCAAGACAACCTCCAACCCAGGAGTTGGTTGCCAAAGATCTACATGGCATTGAATGGCGTTTCCGTCATATTTTTCGAGGTACCTTTTGACACTGAGCTACAATTATATTAGGTGTACGCTAAAATTTCCCTTGGTAGTTGCTGTTCCATGCATTATTGCGTATCTGTAGACCAGCGTTTGCCAGAAAGTGACACTTGTTGCCAGACACATGCCATCATATTTGGAAAATTCTTTACTCCTTTGCAAATGCTGTGAATTGTTGGATTGCTTTTGCATTAATAAAATTTCTAGTTTCTATATCTAACTTCAAACATGTATGCTAGGTCAACCTCGTAGGCATTTGCTTCAAAGTGGATGGAGTGTGTTTGTTAGCTCTAAAAGACTGGTTGCTGGCGATGCCTTTATATTTCTAAGGTCTGGAATCTTCTTCATCCATCAATTATGTCTTCATTCAGCTTGCTCCGTAATTGCAATTAATATACCGTTCTATTACTTGGGAATTTTCTTCTAGAGGTGAGAATGGAGAGCTCCGTGTTGGTGTTAGGCGAGCAATGAGACAGCAGGGAAATGTCCCCTCTTCTGTTATCTCCAGTCACAGCATGCATTTGGGCGTTTTAGCCACAGCCTGGCATGCAATTTCTACAGGAACCTTGTTCACTGTATATTATAAACCAAGGTATGTGGGTGACTTTATTCTTGTGGTAGTCATTGAGAGGTTGTGAGTTGAGTGTACGTGTTCATTTTCTGTTCTCGGTAATGGTTTTCTGATCTTGACAGTGATATGCTTTATATTGATGTGCTAAATATAATGTCTTCTTTCAGGACAAGTCCAGCAGAGTTCATAGTCCCATTTGATCAGTACATGGATTCAGTGAAAAATAACTATACCATTGGCATGAGGTTTAAAATGAGGTTTGAAGGAGAAGAAGCTCCCGAGCAGAGGTATAATGCTGCTCCTTCATTCTTTCTTTGTTATGTTAACCATGAGTTTTATTAATGATTGACCTAATGGTGGTTGGTTGCAAGTCTAAGGAGGACGTATAGCTTATTCTTGTGGCTCTTTTTTCATTACAGATTTACAGGAACAATAGTTGGGATTGAAGATGCTGATTCAAATAGATGGCAAGAGTCGAAATGGAGATGCCTGAAAGTAGGATTGCTGACTTTTTGGCTGATTCTTCTGTTTATCATACTTGAAAAGGTGCTCACATGATGGTGTAATTCCAGGTGAGATGGGATGAGACTTCGACCATACCTCGTCCGGAAAGAGTTTCTCCCTGGCAAATAGAACCTGCTTTGGCTCCTCCTGCTCTGAGTCAACTCCCAATGCCGAGGCCAAAAAGACCCAGAACAAATATTGTCCCCTCATCACCTGATTCTTCTGTGCTCACCAGAGAAGGTCTGGTCATGCAACCTAGACTTAACTGATTCTCCACTTTATATCATTGTTGCAAGCTTTTTCTTTGTTTCAGTGCATCTCTCAACTTGGGGTTATAAAAGTGCTGTTTTTATTGAAATTGACAGTTTCATCCAAAGTTACTGCAGACCCTCCGCCAGCTGGTGGATATGTGAGGGTCTTGCAAGGTCAAGAATTCGCGACCTTGAGAGGCAATTTCACTGCTGAGAGCAATGAGTCGGTAACAGCCGAAAAGTCTGTTATGTGGCCACTGTCTGTGGATGATGAAAAGGTTGAAGTGGTTTCTACTGGTAGAAAAACTGGACAAGAGAGCTGGATGCCCTCTGTGAGGCTCGAGCCGACTTACACAGATTTGTTGTCTGGCTTTGCTGGAAATGCTGCTGGTTCCTCCCAACATGGATATTTTTCTTCATCCTTTGCTGATCGAAGTTCTGTTCCTGCAAGGAAGCGTTCAATGATATATCAGGATGGGAAATTCAACTTGCTTGGAGATCCATGGTCCTCGATTTCATCAGGCCTTTCACTCAAGGTGTCGGATACCAACACAAAAGCTTCAGGAGAAGGTAGTGATTATTTAGGTCGTCATTCAGTGGGGTCAAATCTTAGATACAGTGCATTTAGTGAGTATGCTAGGGGGGCCGACCAGTTGCATCTCAACTGGTTGATGCCTCCACCATCATCATCCCAGTTTGAGCATCATCATTCCCAATCAAGAGAATTGATGTCGAAGAATATTCTGGCGCCGGAGCCTGGCAAATCCACTGATGGGAACTGCAAGCTGTTTGGTATTCCTCTTACTGGCAACTCTTTGGTTCATGAGGCAGTCATATCGCCTAATAAGAAAGTTATGAATGACTCAGTAAGCCATTCAAATGGAAATGGTGCCAGCCAACATAATCATCCACTTGAGACTGATCAGCTGGAATCAAGGAGTTGCAAAATAACTGATGACAGCGAGCATGAGAAACGATTTCAACAGGGCCACTCACGAGACAATGTTGGGAAGTCGCAAAGTGGTTCAACTAGGAGTTGCACCAAGGTATCGTATGTTAATAAATATAATATAATTTTTCCTTTGTGTCGCAGTATTTGCTTGAAAGTGAAGCTGAATCCAAGATGCGTTGGTTGCTTCAGGTTCACAAGCAGGGGATTGCCCTAGGTAGATCAGTTGATCTGAGCAAGTTCAGCAACTACAAAGAACTGATAGCTGAACTGGACCGCTTGTTTGAATTTGGCGGCGATCTGAATGACCCCAAGCAGAATTGGATGATTGTGTACACCGACGACGAGGGAGACATGATGCTTGTTGGAGATGACCCTTGGCAGTAAGTATTTCTTACACCTGTATATTGTGTACACCTTTTGTTTGTGATTAAGGAAGTTATGCTGAGATGTTGTTGTGATTAATCAGGGAATTTGTTGGGATGGTCCGTAAGATTTTCATCTACACCAGGGAAGAAGTACAGAAGATGAATCCAGGGACTTTGAACCCGAAGTGCAGCAACAATTCCGATGGAGAAGGCGGCGGCGGCGACACGAATCACTCGGGGGGATGCGCGTTGCCGTCTGGGTCGGATAACTGATAGGTGGGTGGTGGGTTGATATATCACAAAGGCATCATTAATGCGAGGCAGTAGTTGCAGATTTTTGGGGCTGCTGATATATATATGAATGAATAGTATTTGATTGACGGTGTTAGTTGGCGGAGGAGCATGGGAGGAGGGGGGGAAGGCGGGTGGCGGTGGGTATTCTCAGGGATTAGACGGACCACCAATTTTTTGGAGGATTTGTGGAGTTTAGTATCCTCCTATATCAAATGGTGTCTCTCTATAGTATGATATGATAGTAGATAAGCAAAGAAGGAAGAAATATGATTGTGCAATGGCCTCCCTCTCTCTCTCTCGCCGGCCTGCTGCTATAATAGGGTTGATTAAAAGCGATGATTATTAGTAAGTAGCATTGCATTGCAGTTTTTTTTTATGTAATCCAATATCTCCTGTAAATAGAGAATGGGTTTTCCTTGTCCCCATCCCCTGCCTGGAATGGATGTAAAGGTGTAATAAATAAATAGTGTATACATAACATAACATGGGTGTAGTAGTGTAGACTAGAGTGGGTTTTATTTGATGATGATGATCATCATGTGCGTTGGTTCCCAATTCTATCCCCTAAAGGATAAGGGAGTGGTTGGTTGGTTGGAATGGTCCCTTACTGCAACTGGACAGTAGCAGAGAGCAAGTAGTAGCTAGTGTCTGTGTGTGACATCAAACAGACAGGCAGAGGCAGAAGCATGTGGGAATGCTGGGACTCGGTGGCCCTAATCTGGTATGGTATGGTATGGGGCGTGTGAATACTGAATATTGATGGGTGGTATGGTAGGGTTGGGATGGACCTGTCTCTGAACGGTCATAAAAACCCACACACCTCCGAGGGTGGTTTGTTTGTTCCTTCCCTTCCCTGCTGCAGCTGCGGCCTAGTATCACTCTCTTTCTCCATTCTGCCTCTGGCTGTGGTAAGCTATTTTGATTTTGCACTAGTTGGAGCCGAGGGCATTGGAAAAATTGTATTATTTATTGCTCAAGGAGCGTCGTATTCGGTAGGGCTGGGTGGGTAGGAGTAGTGTGGATTGCTGCAATCAATATTTTTTTATTTACCCTTTGTTCAGGTCAGCTGATACAACTGTGATTGCCTAGATATTTCTTTCTTTTTTTTTTTTTTTTACTTGACTACCTACTTTTTTAGTAGGGCTGACAATCCAGACCGAACCGACTGGAAAATCGTTGGGTTTGGTCCGATCGCGAGACTCGAATCATGGTTTGGTCTGGCTGGCCTGACTTGTTATCTCCCACTTTAGTGTGCGTTCTGATTTGAGTTTGACTGTGATAAATTGCGATGAACTATGACAGACTGTGACCCAGTACTCACTAATCCAAACCAACATAACATCCAACCTTTCTTTATGCATTTGGAAGAACAATTCGAGCCTGATCAATCTGGCCATGGGAAGTAAACAATATGATCTTATTCTAGATTTCAGTACAAACACAACAAATCTTTTGATTCTTCATCCGAATGAAAATCAACGAATTGCTCAAGCGATCACTTTTGTGTTATCTCATAGTGAAAGAACCACACAAAAACAAGAAAAGGATGGGAAAATAATCTCCACTAGCCATGTCTAGACTCTGGAGTTGATTATATAGAAATATAGAACAAAAATTATTTACGTTAGGTGAAATAAGAGAAATTCTAGCACGCGAAGCGACCAATCAAGTGGTTCAAAACAGTCTCGATGTCGTTACAGACTTGCAGTGGGGATTGAGTGGGAGAATCTTCCGGACCACCTGGAGACCGAGAGAAGCGATAGCATAAAGAGGAAGAGAGAGGCAAAGTTGTTTGTTTGTGTTTATTTTAAGTGGATACTGAATAGAGTACTGGAGACTAGAGTGGGAGTAAGAAATAAAAAAAAGTCCTTATATTTCCTCGTAGGTTAATTACAGTCACTAAAATTTTGTTTCACTAGGATATTGATCACTAAAGTTTTCTATTTTCAGATTGTACCAGACTACAACGTACATACATAGTCTAATATGAATCATATAATATATGATTTGTCTTCTAACCTCTCAGTCTAGACCTTAGACCGTATATATATTCCAATCTAGTCCGGACCTCATTATTTTCCACCCCTAACTTTCCGCGGGAAAATAATAATAAAATAGTAATAAAGAACAGAGTTTACCGATTAACTTAGCAAGAGTGCATCATTTGCAATTTGCATGGCACTCTGCGGTCACGTCAGCATTATAATGAAATCTGATGAGGGAAAGTTCTAAAAAGAGAAACTAACTCAGAGACTTCTCCGAACCAAAGCAGGGATCTCTGAATCCAATACTTCCTGAAACCATAACATACAAACCCCCTCAAACCCCAATTGCCTAGTTCTACCTCATCCATCTAACAGGTGCTATTTTCCCTCTTTTCTTTCTTTGCTAACTGGAGCCAAATCTAGGGCTGACCACCTACTACGCCAAAAGCAAAAGAACCTAAATCATTCCTTGGAACCCACCGGCCGAATCCAGAAGAACGGCTTTGATTTCCTCTGGGTGCACGTCCTGACCTTCCTTGCATTGCTGCAAAACGTATCCAACAACAAAGTCAGCATATTAACGGTTGAGAGAGCAGAAGAGGTGGGTGGGTTCAGTTTTTAGCAGATATACCTCGGCTCGGAAGATGTCCATGGCAAAGCCGTTGAAGCAGCTAATCACTGCTTGCTGTATGTCCAGCCCAAGGTCGTCCAAGGCCTTCATTGTGGACAGCAGAAGCCCCGGCCTCCGCCCACAGAACATGTGGATGTTCACAGCTCTCCCTTCTCTCACTCTCACTTCAACCTACAGGGAGCAACAGCACCAAACAAATGAAACAATGAAACATATCATTCATTGAAAGCTAACCCCTTTATTAGCTTGGACCATACTGCCTTTTTTCCTAGAAGAGGGAGAGAGTTCACGAGATGTTTACCCTCGCAGCTTGTCCATTCGGACTTGGCAGAGGGCTCGGGCAGAGTTTGTCTTTCATGTGGCTGGACAGCGCCGACGGGGTCGGGGTCAGTGGATGAAATGCAGTTGTGGCTGTGGGTGTCAAAGAAGAGGACCCTGGAGGAGTTGATTCCAGTTCATTGTGAAGGTCATTGATCCTCTGCAGAAGCTCCTTCAGATACTCAATCGCATCGCCAAGGATCGAAGCTCTGTCCATCTGCTCCAACACAAGTTTGCCATTATATCAAATGTCATTATAAATTTACTTAAACTCTGAAGAAACTGATGCCATGCTTACTAAAACATCTCATCCCCCAATTCACAATCTATAACTAACTGATTGAAACTATGGCTAAGGAGGAGAGAGCCAAAGCTTTTCAAGTTATTGGACAGAAAATCAGGATTCAGTTAGCTAGTCAAACCATCCATATGCAAGTGTATGCTTATGCTTAGTGGTCCTTTTTCTTCCGGGCATAACAGGACAACAGATATTAATTGCATGAAAGTTGCAGCACCATGGCTGGCACCACTGGCAGTGAGTGAACACGAGAGAAAGAAGGCTCTAGTTAGTACGTACTGTTTTGTCTGGAAAAAAGCTGCAAACGAAACAAAAATTGCACTCACAGATGGGTACAGAGAATGAATTCAGTACTCTATTCTCAACGGTTTTCTTTTTTTTAAAGAAAAGACAAAAAAAGATAGCCGAGGAACATGAAAAGCTCAAAGAGGCAGACAATTGAAACGGAACTCATACAGTCTGATTTACCATGGAAAAGGAGGAATTAATCATGAATCTCTCTAGCAGCTTTGAATAATAAGAACAATAAATTACCTTTCCCCAACAATTTGGTTGGCCCAAGAAAGGCTAAAATCATGTGAGTGAAGGCAAAAATCATGTGACAGGAATGAATGCGATTCTCTTGTGTACAGCATGCATTTCAGACACAAGGGACCAACCCAAAAATCGCAAAGCACCAAGAACACGAACTCTCTGAATCATTGTAATCCCAATCATGTTTCCATTTTTTTTTAATGAGAAGAACATCATCGTTACTAGTAACAATAAAGTAAACCACGGATAGAAATCACAGGGAAATGCTGAGAAAAGATGGTACGAGAGAAGAAAGAAAAATTCCTTACTTTGCTGATCTTTGGAACAACAGACCTCAGCATGTACAGCCTATCATTGAGCTTCTTCCTGCGCCTCCTTTCGGCCATCAAATTCTTAGCAGGAAGTCCCTTCTTCTTCCCCTTCTGATCCGGAGCACCCCCGGTGACACCACTGTTAGCATTGGAGCTCAACCCTCCACCGCCGGCTTTGCAAATCTCGTCCAACTTAGTGGTGTTCTCAGTGAACTCATCGGAGTCATAATTCAACCCTACTGACCCATCAATGCTCAAATCATCCAAAAAGGAATCACCACCATTTGAGCTCAACATCATCCTCCTGTTCTTCTCATGATTATCTTCATCACTAGTTTGAATCATTTCCTTCTTCCCTTTGTCCCTCTCAGTCACACCCCCCAAAACTCCCAAATTGCCTGCCTCACCACCGCCCAGATTCTTTCTCAAGGCAGCCCTTTTCTGAAACAATGTCGGCTGTGCACCCACTGAAGGGTAACTCTCTAGTGGCCTCAACAGCTTAGACCTATTCAAAATCAGCCCATTATTCCCATTCCCCTCCTCAAACCCTCTAAACCCTGTGAACCCTGTTTCAGGCAATTGAAGCATTTGATGAGGATTACTCCCAAATTGGGGCAAATTGTGAGCACCACCCCCCATCTGGTTGTTCACTGAGCCAAAATCAGCACAACCCCCCAATAACAACCCACCATTCCCCCTGTTTAGAACGTTACCAGTTGCTGTTGCAACTTGATGATTGTCGAGGAACCCAATTTCCCCCAAATCGAACCCATGGTCTAAAGGGTTGTTGTTGGAGACTACATTGGCTAGCAAGGAAGATAAGGAAGAGTGGTGGAGTGGCTGCTGCTTGTTGATGGGTTGCATAAGGTAGTGTACCTGAGAAGGGTCCATGTTGTTGAAAACCGAGGAGGAAGGTGAGCAAGACGACGAGGAATCGACTTGGTTGTGGTGGTGGTGGTGATGAAGCAATAGCCCATCTGTGGAAAAGCTCATCTCTTTGACGACGTTGTTGTTCTGGTTGTTGTTACCCACAGCGTACCAATCCTCTTCGCCTACTTCAAGCATGGATTTGAAACCCATCTCTTCTTTTGTCTCCATCACCAATTCACAGGTGTTGCTTTCAATAATTAAGTTGTTGTTTGTAGCGTCGAGTGCTGGTGTTGAAGTGTTTTGCTGGTGCTCCTTGTTAGTGTTGTCATCCATCCAGGGACTACCATTCAGCTCGGACAACATTCTTTTCTTGGGGGCTGCCTAGTTTAGCTTTCACTTGTTCTCTGTTTCTTTCTGCGAGGGAAAACAAAAAACCACAAACAACACAATGACGAAAGCTAAGCACCAATGAGCCAAAGCAGTTTGTTTGTTTAGAAAATGGCTGAGAGAGAAAGACGGAAGGAAACCAGAGCTTTCTTTAAAGGACCAGCCAAAATAAAGAGAGAGAATGAAGAGGACGTTTGCAGAATGCAGAGGGAAAAGGGAATTGGCTTTTTTCTATCTGTTGGGAATTCCTGGCTATTATAATTTAGCATAATCACAATAATACTACAAATCTACAATGGGTATACCTTGTTGTTCATTTTCATTTCAGGTTTGAGCTGGCTTGGCTGGCTGTTGCCTCTTCGAACGTTACAGCAATGACTGCAGCAAGCAACTCACTTTTGTCTGTATTTGGACTTGAGCACTCAATACGCTGTGGGGGCCTCTTCCTTTCCTTTCCTTTCCTTTCCCAATAACTTCATGCAAACTCTCCATTTATAACTGTCACGAGAAAGAACAAATCTAATCTTACCCTTCAATGACCGTCAATGTTCAAGATCTATGAGTTTTAGCAAATTGCAACTTCCAACTACCATATTAATCAAGGAGTATAGAGGTCATAGGTTGACATTCGGTTAGGCGATTAGCGATTACACCTATAAACTAACTGATAATCGACGGTTAACGATTGTATCGTTAACCAATCACAAGTTAGCGGTGCGGTTATCAGTAGGTTGAAATGGCTTCTGGTGCATCCGATAATCAAATAGCCGACTAATGGTTAGCCAACAACTAACCGAATATAAATATATATGTTTAGCTCCTCCAAAATGGTCATGTCCCTCCTATTAAAAACTTGGGTTTTTTCCCAGAAATACCACTGTTTATAAAAAGAATTCCAAAAATACCACCAAACCCCAAAAAATTCCAAAAATACCACCTTTTTCAAAAACCGCCACCCCACCCTGCGGTTTACATGAAAACCGCTTGTAGTTGTCGGGGTCGCGGTTATAAAATTTTTTTTGGACCAAACCGCTGGGTGTTCCGCCACCCCACCCAGCGGTTTGGTCCAAATTTTTTTTTTATCAACTCCTAACTTCGGCCGAAACTTCAAACGAACGTAACTTTGCACTCGGATATCCGATCGTAGCGATTTTTTTTTCATTTCGCATAACTTTTCAAGATCTACTACTCTTACTAGGATGAAATTTTCAAAACAGGAATTATTTGTGGATATAAGGGACCTTGAGAATAACTTTACCTTTACTTTTCACAAATCCATGTACATTTTGAAATTATGATTATATTAAAAGTTGTAGATCTTGAAAAGTTATGAGGAATCAAAAAAAATTTCGGATTTTGGAGCTCAAAGTTATGGCCGCCCAAAGTTTGACGAAAGGCGAGACCCGGCGGTTTGCGGCTTGCAAGATCTCAAAAAGTTTGCGGCCTCCATTTTTTGAATCCGAATAAATTTTTGAGATCTTGCAAGCTGCAAACCGCCGGGTCCCACCTTCGTCTCGAAAAAACGTCAATTGCCACCCCGAACGAGCCTTTTTTTTTTATTTCGTTAAACTTTGGGCGGTCATAACTTTGAGCTCCAAAATCCGAATGTCATGAATTTATTTTGGGCAATGTCTATTTTTTACCCAAACCTTTTTCAGATTCTTTTATTTTAACCAAACCTATTGAATTCCTAAAAATTATCCAAACGTTAACTCTCCGTCGACTTTTCTGTTAGTAATGCTGACTAAGTATGACCATAATGAGTTGACTTCCTACGTGATGGTCATAATACCATCACTTACTATTTTTAATAAAAAGATTATCAAAAAATAAAACAAAATCTCACCCCTCACGTGGACGAAATAAGTAACGGTAACAGAATGAATGCCCAGACTATGATAAATTATAATACGTTTGGATAATAAATAGAATTTCTATAGGTTTGGTTAAAATAAAAGAATCTGAAAAAGGTTTGGGTAAAAAATAGACATTGGCCATTTATTTTTGATTCCGCATAACTTTTCAAGATCTACAACTTTTAACATAATCATAATTTTAAAATGTACATGGATTTGTGAAAAGTAAAGGTAAAGTTATTCCCAAGGTCCCGTATATCCATAACTAATTCCTGTTTTGAAATTTCATCCTAGTAAAAGTTGTAGATCTTGAAAAATTATGTGAAGTGAAAAAAAAAATCGCTACGATCGGATACCCGAGTGCAAAGTTACGTTCGTTTGAAGTTTCGGCTGAAGTTAGGAGTTGATCGGGAAATTTTTTTTTGGACCAAACCGCTGGGTGGGGTGGCGGTTTTGGGCCAAACCGCCACCCCACCCAGCGGTTTGGTCTAATTTTTTTTTTATAACCGCCCCCTAGGCCCGCGGGTTGCATAGAAAACCGCGCCCCCGACAAGCGGTTTTCGTGTAAACCGCAGGGTGGGGTGGCGGTTTTTGAAAAAGGGTGGTATTTTTGGAATTTTTTGGGGTTGGGTGGTATTTTGGAATTCATTTTTTAAACAGTGGTGCTTTTGGATTTTTTCCTAAAAACTTTTGAACTTCGAATAAACATTCTTGATACGCTCCATTCTATACATATTTTGACCCCTTAGACTTGGTTGTTTGACATGTTTAGCATCGTCTTTGGAGCTATTTTACACTGGATTTTGGAATGCTTTACTATGTTTCCTGCCATGGCGGGTGAAATGGGCGAAAGGACTGAAAGTCAAACGAAAGGGTTCACAAATGGAGCAAAACGGAGAAAAGTGCACAAATCACGGGCTGGAGGGGATTATTACGGGCAACAAACTGAAGATTAAAATGAGATCGTGAAGCTTGTAGATTTCCAGGAGCTTTCGTGTGTCTCACTCGCAAAGCAATGATCGCGGTCTCTGACTGTGAAGCCAACATGAAAATCGTGAAGTGTGTTAATGAAACAACGCATTTTGTGTTGAGATCACAGTTTTGTTGCACAGTTCACAGGCATGACATGAAACTACGAAACATGCACAGTCGATCTATATAAAGAGAAGATCCTATTTTGAAGGGAGGAGAGTTTAGAGTGAGATTGAGTTTCTTGTTCCTTAACCTAGAGAGAGAAAGATACAAACAAGGGAGATTGAATGTGGATTTTACCTGCCCAAGCCAAGAGGAGGCCACATATAATCTCCAAGGATCAATTCAAGCAACTAGGAAGAAGAAGAATAGAGTTCCAATGGGGTTTTCATCTTTTCTAGTTGTTGTTCTTTTCTCTAGCTATGAAGTAATTTCTCTTTTCACTTGGATGATGTGAACCCTAGTCTAGGATGTTGTAGATTGATGATTGTGAACTCTATGTGATGATGGACATGTTTAATTATATACGGATTGAGTACTTATCATGAAATTTGAGTGTCATTGATCAATTCCCTCAATTTAGGGACAAATTGACCTAAGAGAGAAGATCTCATTAAGGAAGGGTGATTATTCAATCGTCGTAGAGAGCCATGAATTATTATGATTGGTATCTTCATGCCGTTCCGGGTTAAAACCTAAGGGAGTGGATTTGGTTTCCCTAGTCGTCTATTGCGGTAGCATGGTACGCCCCTCTGATTAGATTGATTAGGCGGGTTAGGATGCTCTCAAATAGGGGGTCCTAACTATATTTGTTCTCCTAATGATATACAGAACTTGCCAATCGAACTAGAGTGTCACAATTTCCTCTCAACACGGGACTAGGGGGAATATCATCTGAGTGGAGCCTTATCATCTTAACTTCAACATCATTTTAGTTGTTTGTTTGCTTGATAGTTTAAACAATGTTTTGATTGTTAGATAATTTTTGGTCTACTAAAGTAAGGGTAGACAAACCGCCTAGGTTGATAATTGAAAATATACTTGCCCCATACTACACCCGTTGTAGGATTATACTTGGCCTACGGTGGGAGTGTGTATTAGATCGCGAGTCAAGTTTTCTTAGCGCCATTGCCAGGGACAACGATTCGTTATTCAGTAAAAGTAAACTACTTTTAACTTTTCTATCTTTTGTTTTATTTTGTGTTCTACCCCTTTTGTTGATGCAAATATAAAACATGGATCCGAGTAGCTTCTCCTATACATGGGCGTATCACCTGAATGGTGTTACCCAGGACATCTTGGAGGAATCAAGAAGAAGAAGACTACGGATTCGGGTTCGAATACCAACCCTTTCCCAAAGTTGAACAACCGTACCCCCGGGTGTTCAAGAGTTTCAACCATTCCATGAAGACTACCCTCCACACACAAAAAAGACGAAGAGCCAATTGGAGCTATTGGCAGAGCAGTTTGTGTCAGATAATGAAAGATCATGCTCCACATCGGCCTTCCAAACCATGGATCCACCTTCCTCAGATTTTCTTTATGAAGTAGAGCAAATTCTCAAGCACACCGAGAAGTTGAACACGATGGTCGAGAAAGCTTGTGCACAATTGACTCAGGAAGAAGAGAAAGATGAAGAGGCAAACCCCAATGACGATTTGGAGCAAAAAGTTGTCACGGAGAGCCACCGTGATACTCAAGATCTGGAATGTCCTTTTGAGGTAGCCATCATCCCTCACTTCACTTTAAACTTTAAAGAGATTGTCACTAGTGAGGAGATGCGAGCTGATCCTATCAAAGACATCGCTTGGAAACTTGATATCCAACATATGCTTGAGGAGGAGTGAGAAAGGATAAGAAGAGAAGTTGTGGAGGAGGAAGAAATCTATGAGGAGAAATTTCTTGAAACTTCACAAGGGGAGGAATCAATTTATGAAGAAGAAAAGGTGGTGGATGAAGCAATTGGTTTTCATGCTAAGGATGAAGTTATGGTGGAAGAGGCTAGCATCGGCCATGATTTCATTGTGAAATCTCTACCAAACTTTGAGGAATTGCTTGGCAAGGGTGGAGAGTTTCAATGGTGGAGAGTTCATGATGCCTCATCTGGTTTGGGGTAAAGAGGAGAAAGAATAAGCGAAGGAGAGGTCTCGAATGTGGAGACTTCCTATCAAGCAAGTACACGAGCCGTCGTCACATTCCATACCACATGATAGGTACTTGAGACCCTACTTCACCGACAAGAACCTCAAATTCAAAGAAGTTTTGGGGATGACTGAAGCTTAAAGAGAAATCATCTAGCTTATGACATAAATATAGCAATTGTTGGGAGGCAACCCAATGTTGGTTTGTATTTCTTTTCCTTAATTTTCTCTTTTTGTGTGCGTGATAGAGACAAGTGTGTGAGTTGTGAATGATCACCATTCCCATAGTTGATGTGTGTTGGTCAATGAATGTGTAGTGTTTGAGTTTGGGGTACTGTCGAGTTGATTAGGGTAAAAAATGGACAAAACCCCCCTATTTTTTGCACACATCATGGTTTTGGTGGAATGTCACGGTCTTAGACAATGAAGATTAACCACAACACGTGAAATAAGAAGGGATTTCTGCCAATTCGTAAACATCAGGGGTTGCATGTAATTTTCACGGGTAAAGCCCATGATAATTAAATGCACAATGATATAAGAACAAGACACACCGTTTTGTGCAGAGATCACAGTTTGTGTGTTAAGATCATGGTCCAAGACCGTGAAAATAACACCAAAATCGTGATCATGACCATTGGACATTATAAAAGAGTCGTGAAGAATCCCTCAAATGTGAACTTCACCTTTGCTGGAAAATTTTGAATTCTCACCAGAATAAGTCACCTCCGAAGGTTTTTCGATGATTTTATCTACTTCCGGCCACCCAAATTGAAAACCAAGCACATACCCATTCTTCCCTGACTCGGCGCTCTTTCAATGAGTTTTTAGGGCTTGTTTTTATCGTCGGAAACCTTTCTCCGGCGACAGTCGGGCGACCTTTCCGGACAATTTTTCAGCCAGATTTTGACTCCCTCACTTCCTCCTCATATTCTTATTCAATCTTACATGAGTCTCTAGGTGTTTTGAACTTTTACCTTGTTTATTGTGGAGAATCGCATCTAGGGTTCTTAGGTGAGGAGATTTGGGAATTTTTGCATGAAAGATGAAATTGGGTGAGGGATTTGTCGAATTATGATTGTGTGCATGTTACTTAAGTGATTTATGGGATGTTTGTGGGTGGGTGAATTTTTTTTTTTTTTTTGTATGTTATGATGTTTGGATTGAAAACGCCCACCAAGTTTATGCTAAAATGTCTAGCCTCGATACACTTTTGTGCATGTCGAATGTTGGCCGTCGAGGCAAGATCTAGGCTTACATTTGCAACATTTTTTACCTATGAAACACCTAGTTTGCCTCGTTGTGCTTTTGGGATGATTGTGCTTAAATGTTGTCCATCCGACCTTGTGTAATGCCTATGTCGGCTTGTCACCTATGTTTGAAAATTAAGTGTGGGGTAGTGATTGGATCCTCCATAGTGCTTTGTCTGATGTTTGGTATTTTTGTAGGATGGTTGACCCGATGCACCCATGTATCTAGCTATTGGTGAATCACCCCACTTATGGGGACCACTATGAGTCATGAAGGAACAAGGATATTGGACCCCATTGACGCCTAAACTTGGATATGTTTGAGTACCTCCAATGCCAAGTTGCGATCTTCGAAGCCATTTCTCATCCAAAGTTGTACAATTTGCAAGCTTCGACGAGCCAATCTATCGAGAGCTCTGCTTTGAGTTCTACACGTTCCGAAATGAGCATCCAGGAGGGAGGCGAGCCCAACCATATGTGGAGTTCAGTATGAGTGGCGTCATCCACACCATTGGTTATGACACCCCAGGCTTTGGGCCTCACATAGCCATCATGACCATGATGGATCTCGTGTACACGCGAGATGTGGAGTGGGTGTACAAGGCGATCTGCCTAGAGGAGCACATAGATCATAGGTCTCGTGTGGGTCACACGAGGAGACTCATTTCCGACCCTAGTGGAGGATCCTCCACATGTGACTAACACAATCTGTGATCCCAAGTCTACTAGCTCAGTGGCCGGTGACCCTTAGTAGGATCGTGGTGCTTCGCACTATGAGTAGACTTCGGGAGGCCCTCCATCTAGGAGGGTTTGTGGCGACATCATCTTTGAGGTTCTTGGGCTGGGTGCGCATCTACACGATGCACATGGGGCCCATCATCACTCGCCTGGTGAGGTACTACAGTGTGGACACCGCCATCTACATGATGTTCGGGTGGACGTAGATCTTTCTAGTGGCGACACTTCACCACATGGGACTTGTCCGGACTGAGAGAGGCATCGAGTGTATTGATGGCCTCTAACCTTCAGCCCTCATCCACCACTCAGCCGACGTTGTAATATCTACGCTTCATCATCATCGGAGCTGGCCCTTATTCCTCGGTAAACATTGAGGCCTGAGTCAATGCACTAGAGGGCCAGGTTGTTGGATTCTCCTCTCAGCTTGTCAAAGAGCGTGATGGCCGACATCATTCACATTGTATGGAGGAGGAGCTCCTATGTGCCCAGGTTATCCAGTTCCAGGATTCCTACAACATCCTTCACCTCCTCGCCAAGAGCCGCCTCCCCAGGATTACCATTATCAGTTTTGAGGGCCATGTTGGCACCATAGTACCACCATTTCACTTCTGCCCACTTTGACTATAAGCTCTTTATTTTTTGGTTTTGTGTGTTGAATTCGTACTATTGTGATTTTATTTTCTTGTGACTTTGAATATTGTGTTTGTGAAATAACCTCAACTTTGGCGAGCATGTGTTTGTGTTTGTGTTTGTGTTTGTGTGTGCGTGTGTGTGAAGCTCTTCCTCTCCCTCAAAACTGGTCCAAATCTAGTCCGGCTTTCACTTGCCAATGATTCGCTAACTTCTTTCCACCCTTATTCTTGTTTCCATTGGAGACAATATCGTGCTTAAGTGTGTGGGGGGGGGGGGGTGGCATTGAATATGTATGTGAATGGCGAGTGAATGCTAATGCTAATGTGATGAGTGACCTTTACCTTGAATGCTTTGCATCCTTGTTATTGCCAAATTCCTACAATTTGAGGACTCCAAGCACTTGTGTATGAATAATTGAATGTTGGCCTACATTGAGAATGTTTTAGAACCTAGAATGAATGCTCAAAATTTAAACTTTTAGGGGGTCCAAACACATTGTCTCATGTATGATTCCTACTTAGTGTGCTTGGAAAAGTTTAATGTTGTGATGGTGTTGATTATAGGGAGTAGTGTGATGCTACAGAGATGATTGATCATGAGTGGTTTTACTTCTATTTCCTCTTGGATGTGTTGATATTTTTTACTATCGAGGTTAGGACATGTGTGCAGGACTATCTCCCAAAAGTTTGGACTCCAATACATTTTGCAAAAGGTGCTCCAATTTTAAAAATGAGTGCTCTCACATGGGAGGCAACCATGCATAGTGTTAAAGGTAAGCCGTCAAAAGGCTTTTCTCTTGATCCAGAGTGACATTTGAGAATGTGGCTGGGGATCAGATAGCTTTTAAGCGTCCAACCATCTTCCTTTTCTAATTTCCATTCCTCTTACACCTCTCCTCCTCATGGGACTTGTATGAGAGGAGATAGTCGGGAAACCTCGGCTCCCGTTTGTACCTCACATGTGTGGAAACCTGTATGCCGTTGAGACGGGAGTGCAATTTGGGAATTGGTGTTTGAGAGATAGGGCTCACACCGGTAAAAACAAAAAACTAAATAATATACTTATATAATATACATTGTGTTGATGACATGCTCAGATTCCTTATTTTTGGGTACTCTAATGTCGATTTTAGTGTCCCTACCAAATTTACCTAACCCTAAGGCCAGGATCGTATTCTCTCAGGTCTCTCGCAAAACCATTACTTTGGAATCGAGGTACGGTAGATTTAGTGGGCTTGTTGATCATGATGTAAAAGTCATTCACTTTCCAGTGTTTAACTTTGTGTATGTTTTGTATTAAAACAAAAACAACAAATTCATTTAGTGTAATTGGTTATGATTGTTGTTTTTGTTTGAGGAGATTCGAGTTCAAATCTTAATATTGATATTTTTTATTTAAAATAATTAATTAATTGTAAAGACAAAATGTCCTTTCTACTTTCATTCTCGTTGCAGGAAATTTGAAATGGAGAAAATTACACAAATCTCTACCCTGGAGGATAGTTTCCGTGCATAGTAAACAGTTCTCGTCCCGCAAGTAATCATCATTCGTTTTTCTCCGTTTCTTGTGGCCCGCCTTGAATGGCAGTTCCCTGATTTGTCTTGTGTTGCAGCTGTAAAGAACCATAACGTATGTATCTACGTATTTTTGTTTGGATCAACAAATCAATTGCCTCGAAGTCTTGCTAGGTTGGCAACCAGTTTGCTTGTTCCAGGTGCCACTGCGATGCTTCTTTATTTGTCAATCCTCTACGTTTACAATTCAAATATGGACAGCTGAAGCTTCAAAACCCTTCGCCCTGAAGCATTTCAATATCACCCATCACTTGGCAGAAAGCTAGAATTGCAATTATAAAATCATATCATAAAATCCACAATTATATCCCACCAAAGGAGGCCTAAAGGAGCATTCGGAAGGGTACCAATGTATAACTTATCCATCACTACATCCTTGCACTATGAGAGCTATAGCTAAAACCAGCAGGCTACCTAATTTTCCACCACGAAGCAATCGATTCCCAGCCCATGGATCAGCATCCATGGTGTTGTGAACTTGAACCCTCCGATCCTCGCCCCCATCTTCCCCTTGGCCAAGTAGCCTGTCCACTAGCCAGCCAGACCCCAAGTTTCTACTGTTCTAGCCAGTACAAATAGTTTTTCAAACAACCAAAGCTACATGACAGCACCTTGGCTTAAGTGCAAATAACTGCCTCTAAGCAACAGACAACACATCTGGCAAGGCATCAGGGGTGCCACTGCTGCCATTGAGAACAATAACGTTGCCCTCAGAATTGACATCCACGATAACCGAGTCACCCTCTTTGATCTCTCCTGCAAGCATCTTCTCGGCCATGCTATCCTCCAGGAGTCTCATTATTGCTCTCCTCAGAGGTCTTGCTCCGTAGCTAGGGTTGTACCCTTCATCCACAACTCTTTCTCTGAACCTCTCAGTCACTTGAAGCTCGATCTCTTTCCCCTTCAGCCGATCAAACACCTCCCTCAACATGATATCAGCAATGTCCTTCACCTCCAGCTTAGTCAGTTGTCTGAACACAATCATCTCATCCAATCTGTTCAAGAATTCCGGCCTGAAATACTGTTTCAGTTCCTCAGTCACCAGACTCTTGATCCTGTTATAACTGCTGTCCTTCTCATCATAATCAAGGTCAAACCCTATCCTCCTTCCTCCCTTCTCGATAACGCTGCTGCCAACATTAGAAGTCATGATCAAAAGGGTGTTCTTGAAGTCCACAGTTCTACCTTTGCTATCTGTCAATCTTCCATCTTCGAGGATTTGAAGCATCATGTTGAAGACATCAGGGTGGGCTTTCTCTATCTCATCAAAGAGCACCACGGTGTAAGGGCGACGTCTAACAGCTTCAGTCAGCTGCCCACCTTCCGTGTATCCAACATACCCGGGAGGCGAACCAATGAGCTTGGAGACTGTGTGTCTCTCCATGAACTCGCTCATGTCGAGCCTGATCATGGCTTCTTCTGACCCAAAGTAGTAGGCAGCAAGTGCTTTGGCCAGTTCAGACTTTCCAACACCAGTTGGACCGGAAAAGATGAAGCTCGCAATTGGCCTGTTAGGGTTCTTGAGACCAACTCGGGCCCTGCGAATAGCACGGCTGATTGCCTTGACAGCTTCATCCTGACCAATGACTCGTTTGTGCAAGGTTTCTTCCATCTTCAATAGGCGATCAGACTCATCTGTCGACACCTTCTCAACAGGGATTCCAGTCCATGAAGAGACAATGTGCTGAATGTCTGACTCATTCACAATGGGGCCTTCATCTCCAGCTTCCGTCTCAGCTTTGCTCATTTCCTTACCTTTCTCCACTATGGCTGAGATCTGTGCCTTTAGGTCCATTTCTCGGTCACGCAATTCCCCAGCCTATCATCACACCACAGTTTCAATAATAATAATAATAATAACAACAACAATAAAACAGTTATACCAAAAGACAGCAAATTGGAGAAGGATAGTGACGGTGGTTACCTTTTCAAAGTCTTGATTGCGGACAGCTTCATCCTTCTCCTTTATAATCTGTCTGACCTCTTTCTCAAGCTCCTTAGCTTCCTCAGGGACCTGTGGGAAATATTACTTGAGAAATAGAACCTACAACCATATGGTACAAAGAATTGGAAAGAGCCCAAACCTGTGCATGACGAAGACGAACCCGAGAGCCAGCTTCATCAATCAAGTCAATTGCCTTATCAGGCAAGAAACGGTCACTGCAGGAATGCAGAGAAAAAAATGGTGAATGAATGCAGATTACAGATTTCCCATATAAAAAGTGGACAAAATTTTCCACTTCTACCCAACACCAGCCACTACGACGCTCACAAAACAAACAACCATGAAGCCCACAATCCAGCTCAAGAAATAGAAGCCAATGTAGAAGTCCTGCCTCTTTTCAGGACACCATTAAACAGTGCAGACATGAACAGAAGAACTGGAAAAAAAAAAGTTAACTTCCATGGACTTCGCACCTGATATACTGGTATGATAGCTGCGCAGCAGCAACTAGAGACTCGTCGGTGTACCGAAGCTTATGGTGGATCTCATATCGTTCACGTAGACCTTTCAATATCTGGATTGTTTCATCCACAGTAGGCTCAGGTACTTTGACTGGCTGGAATCGCCTTTCTAAAGCCGGGTCCTTCTCAATATGCTTTCTGTACTCATCAAGTGTTGTAGCTCCAATGCACTGTAAAAATCAATAGGACAAGTAATGAAGATCACTCCGATATATGAGAATTAGAGAGGCATCACATTTGGTACTACAATACAGAATGTCCTTCGAAAAGACCCAACAGGACAAACCCACATAATTAAATTTGTTCATGAAAATATTTAATTTAGAGCTGAAAACATAAAGTACCTGTAATTCACCCCTAGCAAGAGCGGGTTTCAAGATATTAGCAGCATCGATAGCCCCTTCTGCAGCCCCAGCACCAATTAACGTATGCACCTCATCAATGAAAAGAATGATTTCATCACTCTGCTTGATTTCCTCCATAAGCTTCTTGAGCCTTTCCTCAAATTCACCACGGTATTTTGTTCCAGCAACAAGAAGACCCATATCCAAAGTAATAACCTATTACAAGAGAACCCATGCTATTGATTAAGAACAATCTCGAATTTTGTGAGTAGTATGATAATTGACAGCAAACGAGATGGAAGTTACTTTACCACGACACTATTACTGTAACAACACATTATAACACCAATCAAACTAAACTAAAAATGCCCACCTTCTTTCCTTCAATTGTTTCCGGAACATCTCCAGTTGCTATTCGTTGAGCAAGACCCTCAGCAATTGCTGTTTTACCAACACCTGGCTCTCCAATTAGGCAAGGGTTATTCTTAGTCCTCCGACCCAAGATTTGGATGACACGCTCTATTTGTGGCTGCCTTCCAACGACGGGGTCTAATTTACCCTGGAAAAGAATAATGAATCAGCTTCTACAGCTCCAATACAAAACTGACGGGAATTATAGCAATATCATTACCTCCTCTGCAAGCTTGGTCAAATTAGTTCCATACTCCTCAAGAGTTGGCATCTTTGTGTCTCTGGTATTTGGCCCAATATTAGCGGTAACTTCATTGTTCTCACCCACCATTCGAATGACCTAAAGCAAAATGTACAATTAACCAAAAATAAGATGCTGATCACACTTTCTTCACAGATTACATCAATAATTAAGGTGCGACACTCACCTGTGTTCTTATGTTACTAGGATCAGCACCCAAATTCTCAAGTACACGGGCTGCAACACCCTCGCCTTCACGAAGAAGTCCCAAGAGCAAGTGCTCAGATCCAATGTAGTTATGACCTACACAAAAGGTTGAACTCACATATTATTGAAAGTTTGACTTACAAAAATTAATAATAGGGTCAATACCTACACACACATATAAGGATCCATGGTAAGCTAAACTCTCTGCATAAATGTATGCCTATATAATTTCCAAGCGCCAGTCATCTAATATACACTTCTACCTAAAGGCACAATGAACTTTCAAACCATACCAAAACAACTTCGTCACCTTGGTTATTAACTAAAGAAACTGATAAGTAGAAATGGGAATGGAACATACAATGCTTCAGAAAAATGCTTTAAATCATAATCAGACAGAAAGGATTGAGAGAATGAACATTATACCAAGTTGGCGGGCTTCTTCAAGTGACAACTCTAAAACACGCTTTGCCCGAGGAGTGAATGGGATCTCCACAGCAACAAATCCACTACCTCGTCCAATGATTTTCTCCACTTCCACACGAGCATCTTTAAGATTGATTCCCATAGATTTAAGGACCTTTGCAGCAATTCCAGTGCCCTCACCAATAAGACCTAATAAGATTTGCTCTGTGCCAACAAAGTTGTGGCCAAGCCGTCTCGCCTCCTCTTGGGCAAGCATGATAACTTTTATAGCTTTTTCTGTGAACCGCTCAAACATGGCTCTAGCTGCAAATTTTTTACCTCTCTTCTGCTTAGGAGACATAGTGATAGCAACTCTGGAATGAAAATCTTGTCCAGATTTCACTGTTGCGTCTAAGCAGTTGTAGCTCCGCAATCCTGAGAAACCTGTCAAAGTGCATACCGGTGCTTGCGACCTAGACATCATCTTGACAGCAGTCCTCCTTGATTTTTCAGAACCATGAGACTGGATTCCCTTCGAGGGAGGAGCCAGAGAAGGACGAGCTAGAACTGTCGTCATTTTACAGCTAGAAGACCTGCAATTCATAATGATAAAAAGAGGCGGCAGGTTAGTTCAAGATTGGAACACAACGCCATCAGAACAAACGGCATAGTAAAGTTACGATCGGATTTGAGACCAAAACTGGTTTACGGTACTTATTAGAGATTGCTACATACACAGGCAGGCCAACCGATATAGTATATACATCAAACAAAAGATGGATTTTACCAAAAAGTGTCAAGCTTGTTCATTCATATAAAAAGGCAAATCCAGAAATGAATTCAGCTATTCACTTGATGGCATCAATCATAAAGACATTTCAGGAACAATACTTGAACTTGAACAATTACTGAAATCCAGCTAACAAAATTAACGCCTCAAGCCAAGACACCACCAAACAATTCAAACTCGAGCTACGAAACAGAATCCAACTCAGCGATAACAGCTTACAAGACGAAACAAAAATGATTGCATCAGGAGCAGCAGCCTCCGATTAGCTCTCGAAGACCAACGTCTATACCGAGACTCTTGACCGAGAAAGAGAAGAACAAAAAGTCAAACACCAACAGCAGCTAGGAATCCCTATCTGGATAACATATCCACATACTACCCACAATTCAAGAATCAGAAGACCCTAATACATCGAGAATCCAACGTCAACCTGTTACAATTAGAATCATCGACATTTAACTCAAAATCCCTAATTTCATTTGCACATCCAAACCAGAAAGAACCCCAAAAGGGCGGAAAAGGAAACAGCGGAAAGAGCTCGCAGCTTTAGTCGGAAAGACCTCACCTGAACCCCAGTGAAGGGTAAAGCTCCTTCGCCGTCTGAGAGTACGATGAATGGAGAGAGAAAGAAGGAAAGGAAGATAGAAACAGCGAGACCCTCTATCTTTTTATGGTCGGCAAGCAAGCTAGGAATTGGGACGAAGGATAGACGATTTTTATAGATAAATAGAAATATCAAATTTACGCCAATAAAAGACAATTTTTTCACCAAAAAAAAAAAAAAAAGACAATTTTTTGGTTTCTGAAAAATAGTTTCCTCCCTCTCATTTCTCAAATTATTTGATGAATTGGGTTGACAAAATATGTAGAAATATAATAAAAATATCAAATTTTGTATATAAAAGACAATTTTTTGGTTTACGGAAAATAGTTTCCTTCCTCAATTTCCAAATTATTTGACATGGTTGGTTTAACAAAATATGTAAAAATATAATAAAAATATCAGATTTGCTCTTATAAAAAAAATTTGGTTTCTTGGAAAATAGTTTTCTTCCTCACTTCCCAAATTATTTGATACGATTGGTTTAGCAAAATATGTAGAAATATAAAAAAAAATTATTAATTTAATTATATAAAATACATTTAATAATGATCTATTTATAATTTATATTCTTAACAGAATAACGTATATTTATATTTAAATTCAATATTAAACATCAACACCAAAACATTTATATTTGAATCCAACAAATAACATCAATACTTACTTTTCAAATTTATAAAACAAATCACAAATTAACTTTTTAATCAAATTCACTAGCATGATTTTATTTATAAACCAAAAATCGAACATATTTAACCCGTCTGACATTCCACAAACCCCTCCCCATTTCTCATTTATTTCCGCTCTATATCCCATCCCCCGGCCACCGTTATATTGAAGTCCACGTCGCCCACGAGTTGCTATAACCACAGCCCAATACTCGGACGAATCTCACAGGCCCATATTCTGCCGTTCGATTTCAGGATCCTACGACGTGGCCAGCGTAGAATTTTAGTGGTGGTTGCAGTGACAACCTATAATTTTTTCCCCGACTAGTAAATGGCTCCCAAGTTCGCCCGTCACTATGAGACGGCACTGTTGTGGACATTTTTGCAACCATGAATATTTGTGCGCACGCACTGGCACGAGTTCTCGGCTATATTCACTTTAGCAACCATTTATTAATATTTTTTTTATATTTCTTACTAAAAAAAAATTATGTATATCGATGTTAGAATTGTAAGAGTTATATAGTTATGCCTATAAATAAGAGCACCCAAATCTATTAAGACACTTAGATAAGAAGAACTCGTCTCTCTCTTCTCTTGTATTTTTCTCTCTACCTTTGCTCTTGTTTTGTGCACTATTCTAATAATTTCATAACACGTTCATAATACGGAGGCTGGTCTCATTCTCAGTCAACATAGGTAAAGTAAGGAGCTGATAAGCTCATTCACAGTGCCTCTGACACATCTGCGGCATTCTCTAATCCGGGATTATATCAAAACATTGTTGGGGGACTTCAATACTTGGAACTTCACTCGACCCAATATATCTTTTGCTGTCAAGCGTGTTCTTCGGTTTCTCCAGGGTACTTTAACTCAAGGTCTTGTTTTCAACCGTTCAACAAAGCCGCAACTTCATGGTTACTCGGATGTTTCCTTCGCCTCATGTCCACACGACAACAAATCCATTGCGGGCTTTGTTGTCTTCTATGGTACCATTCATGTTTCTTGGTTGACACGTAAACAAAAGGCGGTGGCTCGTTCATCTACTGAAATGTGAATATCGGGCTCTTGCTACCTTGGCATCTGAAGTCATCTAGTTACAAGCTCTCCTCCTAGAACTCAGATGCCCGCTGCGACCTACTTGGCACATAATCCGGTCTTCCATTCTCGCTCCAAGTATCTTGAGATAGAATTTCAGCTTGTTCGTGATCGAGTCAACAAAAAACAGCTTCATGTTCACTACCTCCCGATTACCGATCAGGTGGTGGATGTGTTAACAAAACCACTCACTCACCTTGCCTTTCGTCAATTCGTGTCCAAGTTTAACCTCTTCGAGGTTGTATTTGCGGGTGCATTATAGAGCAGCACAACCTTCACCCATCTCAGCATCCTAATTCCAAGCAATCTGTTGCAATCTATTTCTGCCTTTTTCGTAGGTTCGTACACGTCAAAATATATTAAAATACCAATCAATCCTATTTCCTCGGGAAGAAGATAACTACTGTATATAGAAAATAATCTTACATTCAAACTATATTGGGCATGATCTCTATCGATGCGCAATCTGGCAAACATAGGCATCTATCCGCCTATCATCCCACTGTCACTGAGAAATCAATTACATGTAATGTAGAGGGTTATGAACCAAAATATAAAGTCGAAAAAAGAAGAATTACACATGATGCGAAGAACAAAGAAAACTAACGATACAACAACTTACAGAAGAACAAACAAGATGAAGCCCCTAGGGAGGCGTATAATCACCGTAACAAAAAAAGGGTCTCCACAAAGTTGCCCTACGACGAGTTGTCCGAATCTGTCGTAGATTTATGATTGGCAAGTGAGGACTGGTCGATTTCTTTTCGTGATGCTTCCCAAAGTTGTTGCTCTATGCTCAACTTCCTTAGCTCAACCAATCCTCGTTCAACTGCAGCAATGGACGTGCAAGACAGAGAACATCAAAACATTGTCATATGTTAAGGCCGTTTCCCTCTGATAGGGCCTATGTTGTATGAGTGGAGGAAGAGAGAGGCAGGTATACCATCGACAGCATCATGCGAAGTGGGCGTCTTCCCGCTACGACTGATCCAGACTTGAAGACGTTCTTCTGCTATATCCTCTTCCACACCATGCGCTTTGGCTCTTCTCCAGAAATATGTTAGCCATGCCTATTCACAAAAGAATAAACAAATTCCAAAAATACACCTCAATGAAATGTTTGTACTGTAAACTAAGGGGCAAGATCAACTGTCTACGGCGAAACCTTAGTCAGTCACTTGACAAAGTAAATTTCAACCATTCAATTTTATTTCAATCTAATGATTGGAAAAAGAGCAGTACGTGGTCATTGACATGTTGCCGAGACCAGTAAGGATAACAGAAAGGAAAAGGTTGTTGATTCATAGGTTGAGACACTGGAAGGTTTTTTTTTTTGCAAAAATCAGTAGTTCCGGTCCTCAATGTTACTCCTCCAGCAGTAGTACAAAAGGATGATGAGGGCTTCACTCAAGAGGTTAAAGCAGAAAACTAAAAATAATGAGTCGGGAAGTAGTTCCAGTATGCAGGCTGTTGGTAGGCTTAACGAGTTGGGTTTTCCTGGCTGACTCGACCACAATCAGTGCTAAGAATTAAGAAGTTTGGTTCCTCCTTCATCGCCCAAGGGCGGAGGAAGGGGGAAGCGTAAAGGTAATTGAATGTTCTCAGCTGGAATATCAGGGGTTTCAATGCCCTTGATAAACACTCAACTGCCTTGGAGCAGTTGAGGAAGTAATAAGTATACAGTTGAGGAAGTAGTAAGACAATAACCACATGTACTTTCTTCTTCGTGGAAGCATATGAAAAACTATTCGAAATCAAAATCTGGCAGGGTTTGGATTTTTTGGGAAAACGGGTATTACAAGGTTTGCAGAGGGTGAGCATTACTTGAAGGTTTTGGTAGTGGGTAAGGTCACAATGATCTTAATGTTTGTTTATAGTCCTAATAAAGAGCAAAAACGAGCAGCACTATATCATGAAATGCTGGGACTGCAGGACAGTCGAACTCCTTGGACAGTATTGGACGACTTTAACACCATTGCAGAAGCAAATGAAGCCTCCAATTCGCAGTTGATAACTCAGAGCATGAAGGACTTTAGAAGTTGGATTAATGCTATGAAATTTGTGGATCACAAGGTAACAGGATCGTGGTTTACTAGGTGGAATAAACTGAGAGCTAACCCTATTGCACAAGGGATTGATCGACTGTTAGTCAATGAAGCCTGGTTGGAAAAGTTCCCGAAAAAGTTCAGCTAGCACTATCCCACTCAGTGTGTCTGATCATTATGGCAATGGCAATCTGTTGAAGACTTCCCCTCCCCTGGCTAAACTTCCCAAGCCATTTAAATATTTTCAACTTTGGCAGACTCATCCAATCTACTTGTAGATCATTAAGGATGCTTGGAAGTTTTCTGTTACAGGTTTTCCCCATTATGTTCTGTATGGAAAGTTGAGAAAAGTTAAGAATGTGCTCAGCAGGCTCAAAAGGAAGCATATTCTGATGTCTCTGACAGAGCTAAACTGGTGGAAAATGCATTAGAGCAAGCTCAGTTAGAAGTGCTATCAGACCCTACCGCGAAGAGAATTGAGAATGAAGTTTGGTAGGGGGTAGGGTGCCATGAGACTAGACTTACAGAAGAGTTGTTCTAGAAGCAAAAAGCGAGGGCTAAATGGATTCAAGAAGAAGATTCAAACACAGCGTTCTTCCATAAACAGGAGCCGTATGAGGTGAAAATCTCATGTACGGTTCAGTTCGAATTCACACTCAACATCAGCAGATTACGAGACTGCTCGACTCTGAGGGTAAGAAGATAACTTATTATAAGTACGTTTTGTAAATATTGTGTATTGATTATAAAATATTTTAGAAAGCCCCATCAAAATTGTCTTCTATTTATCGTGAAAAAACAAAAAACAAAAATAGAAAGGTGGTAGAGATGCAGAGAGATAGTGAGAAGAGAGCAAAAGAGAAAAGAAAATTAAATAGCTTTTCCTTATAGCATAAAATACCACAACACTTAATAAAAATCTCTCCCTTAATTTCATTATTGCATCTATTAACTTATATCTAAGGGCTTAATTTCACCATTGGGTCTGTAAACCTTTATCTAAGGGCTAGGAGGAGTTTAGTCACTTGACTAGAAAGGATCTTCGCCCTAGAAACCAAACTTCGCATCAACATTATAAGTTGGGTGTACGCAGCGATTACAAGGAAAGCCCAACAGTCAATGTCAGTACTTGAACAAGTTATTGGACCACGCATGGTGATGACAATGGTTTACAAGAAACAATGCCCTTCAGATACATGATACAGAAACTGGACATAGAAAAACAGGCATCGCGAAACAATTTAGTTTATGTGCTAAAACCAGCTAGCTTAATATCTGTATTCCCGGCTAGTCTGTTTTGGTTTTAAAGTTTGTATTGAGCCACAGGTTCAGCAAAGAAATGAATAAAGGTTGCTCATTCCTAGGTTTTATTATAATCCCTGGAAAACCCTGAGAACAGTAGTCCTTATCAACCGAGATGTGCTTTACAAAGGAAGACAATGGGATGGGACAGAAAGGAAATATATGGGAAAACAATTGACAAGCAGTATAGTTCTCACGATCATCAACAAGACAAAAACATGGTTAGGTAACTGACCTCTTTGAAAAGAACATCTTCTGCCTCCGCTTCACTCAATCCTGCATTAATCATAGAGTTTAATTAATGACCTAAAGCAAGTCATGTACGAAGAATAAGAATGAGAATTCTATCTTTTACCAACGGCTTCAGAATACTTGGGATCACCAAGAGTTCTCAAATCTGACAAGCAAAATGTAACAAGCATCAGTATTAATGCAAGATATTTTCTTATAAATGAACAGAAAATTGTCGTTGTTAAACTGACAGTCCAAGGAGGTCCAATCATTAAAACATAAGAACCCGACCAGCTGGCAATTCACGATTAATACTGGTTCCAAGGGTTTCATGTTGACATTAATCAATCATCACAACAGATTGTGGGATGGCAGCAGGTAATGTAACAAAAAGGGAAAATCACAAATATCATGATGGTCATATTACCAAAAGCAAGTTAAGCTACTTCGATGTAAATTTGATCAAAATGAAAGGAAACTTAAGCAACTTACTTGCTCGTCTGTGCTGACCCAACGCAAGCACAACAGCATCCTCAACCTGAAACCATGATATGCAGACCAATCGCTATCACCACATAGGATAAAATTTTGATTGTGTTTTATTCTTATCAAGTGCAGAGATGAACTTGAAGAAAACATCACTCATGGGAGTCCCATATTTCAGAAGTTTAAAAATTAACCTTCAAAGAAGCCAATTCCCTCAATCCCATTTCAACTGAAAGCATACTCTCAATATTTCCTTCTCCTGTTAAATCGCTCAAATCACGAGCAGACTTACTCCTGTCCGAATTATTGCCAACTGCATCATTACGAACAAAATGGTTAATACCTACAAAACTTTCATGCAGATGCAGAAAAATAAGCAGAATGAGAAATAGGTTAGGATTAAAGCAACTAGCCTTTGTCCCGAACTTCTTCCTTGGCCTTCTGCCCAGCAGAAATGACAACCTCAAATGGAAGGGGAGCAAAAGCAGACCAATGTTCATGCTTTGGCACTGCTATATCTGCACAAATTCCTGGTACATAACAAGATACAGAAAAGTCAACATATCTTTCACCATAAGACAAAAGTCATAGGGTTGCGACACTATGAACATTGCATGCTTTTAGGAACCCTAGCACGGTGTATGCTCGTTATTTTGTCCTCAAGAAAACAAAAAGACATGGAAAGAAAAGAAACACATAATCTTTCAAGCATGTTTGCATATTTGAAAGTATATCATCAAATGGAAGGGACGTCTTCTGTGATACCATACAACTTACAGATAAAAACAAAAAGGTTCTTTCCCTTTTGGCATTAATTAAGCTAAAAATACACTGTGTTCCAACTTCTAACGGGCTAGTAGAATGTGAAATGATCTACAATCGAAGATAAACCAATTAAAAACATGTTATCTCCATTAAATATCGTAAATAAATCACCTCCCTAGTAAGCACCTAATAGATGTATTCAATTCATTACCATGTTGCACGGCTAGACTCCAGTATCGAGCAAGCCAGCATCTCTTCAAAACTACTTCCTCCTGAATTATTATCAGTACATAATCAGAATCCATAAACTGGAATCAACAATTCAGAGTGAAAAATAAGATGCACGGACCATCTCTTCTTGAGTCAAAATCATTCTTTGTGTCATCGTGCGTAGTGCTTTAGCTTCAGATTCTGCTTCCCGTAGCTGCTCCACAGCTGTTACTGTCTCATCCTTTATATTCTGAATGAATGAATTAAGCAGAAAAGAAGCATGACTCCTCGGAAGTAAACTGAATCATCTGAACAAAGACCAGCTAATAGCAATGTTTAACTACCTCAAGCTCTGAGCGAAGAGAAGCAATCTCCTCATCTCTGCCATCTTTGGTCTGCTTTGCTGCCTTTAAAGCGGCCTGTGACAGATTTTACCATTCAATCAAACACAATAAACGATGCTGTCAAACATTAAAAGAAACAGGCAATCAAGTTTCCCTAGCCTTGCCTCTCTTTGACGCAACGCTGCTTCTTTCCTGCACAATAAGAGGTATCAAATTCCGGACTTTGACATCAGGTAACTGGTACAGGATACAGGAGCAATCAGACTCACCTGCTTAAGAGTTTAGCTTCAAGGGAAACACCTTCTCCAAGGGCAGCTACCTGTTATGGAAATTGAAATGCATAAGATTTAGAACAAACCAATATGTATGAATGACTAAATTCCAAAAAATGAAAAGAACAAAAGTAAGAACCTGTTTCTCAAGCTCCCTTGCACGAGCCTCTGCTTCCTCGCGTCTTTCTTCAGCATGCCGAAGCTGTACAGCAAGCTCGGGTATAAACTCATGGGCACTAAGCAAACAATGCCGAATAATGAATTTATCACAGGTTAGCCGACAAACCTTGTCAAGTATGCCCTCATTCTCTTCTTGTAGCATATCAAGCTGGAAACAGAACGGAGTTAGTCGTGCCTCATGTTCAATCCATGAACTCACTGGAACAATAGTTGGATTGCACACAAACTTTTTGAAAGAAACATACTTCATCACGAAGTGCAGATGCTTCACGCTGATCTCCGTTATCTTTCTTAAGCTGCCCTACATCAGCATTAAACCTGCAGATAAGGACAAATATCAGCCCAAAAGCAAAGGAGAATTCAACTCTTTGATCCGAGGGGAGTCCATAGTAACATCAAATTACGTGATAGTGAGTTAAACGACCTTTTATCTCGGGTCTTGATGGCTGGAGGCTCAATGGCAGGTATAGCTACGGGTGTCCTTAAAGTTGACTTACTAGACGGCATCAATGAAGTTCGAACAGAAATCGTGGATCGCCCTGTTGATGAGGATCGAGGCTGACTAACTTGCTCTACAAAGTTTCGACCTAACTAATGCAAAAATACAAAATCGGAATCAGCTTTCATCAGGTACAGAAGATAATGAAAGTCAAAGCTTTGAAATAACCGTTTTACCAGCACTCTGCACTAGGGGACAGGAGTTAGAAATCTATAGAGAGGAGATGAAGTTCTATTGGAGTTCAAAGAGGATGCCTTGATCATCTATGGTGATGTCTTCCTTATCCTCTATGGCGTGATAGCTCTGTGTTGTTTAAGAATGTGTCCTTGATGCTTTATGCATCTACTTTCTATGATTTAGTAAGATTCTTATTTCATTCAATGCTCTACTCCATCGATGCTTGTATCATTAGATGTTTTATTGACTGCATGCTTTAAACATCTCTTGTTTATATAATCGATGCTCTATATCATCGAGTGCTTTAATCACCTTATGATTTTATCATCTATTGTATGTGAGTATGGTCATTGTTTATAATACTATCGTCTGTTTCATGGGAAACCCAACTTATGTGATATGCATCTATCTTATGCATGTATGAAGGGAAGTGCATCTCTTCTCATGCATGAATAAGATATATGCTTGATACTTAGATCATCATACCATAGACTATTACTATGGCTCGTATAGGCCCTAAATAGAAATGAACTGTCCATACTTCCTAGTTTAATTGATTGGTCTAGTGGATTAAGTGAAAGGACAAATTACTGAATTAGTTAATCATACTTCCTATTGCATGTGGGTAAAGCTCTATTAGGATGGCTTTAGTGGAAGGGATAAAACATCACAATAGATCGATGCATAGTAGCATCATACTAATGAGATTGTATGCATGATCATCTAGATGAAGCTACCTAAACAATAGTTTCAATTACTTGCTTTATTAATATTTTATTTGCTTTAGTAAAGTAGAAATTCGACCAAGGAAACCTCAACCCATATAAATTACTTTCTTTTTTACTATCTTACTCGAGTATAAGTGGTCATATTTTATTAGTTGTTATCAAAAGACCTCTTGGAATACGACCTAGTTTATCTAGAATTTTATTACTTGCATTGCACTATACCAGAGCATCAGCTGCCAATTATTGGTTCTGGATGTCGATCCAAAGGTTGATCTGGGGATCACGCTTCAAATGATATCCCCCAGAATCTCCTAGAGTGGCTAGTTCCTTAGTTGCGTAGGTTGGCGAACCCTAGAGGTTCTTTGACTATGTAACTCTTGGTTTTGGTATATATGAGTTCGATTTCATCTCTTTTCTGTTTGATTTATTTGCTTGGTTTGTTGTTGATGCGATTGCGTACATAAAAAATGACTATCTTCAAAGGTTACATCCTCAAACCCGACTTCGTGTGTGGATGACACTAGACAAAACAGTCCCTTACTATCATTACTCAATCGATCAAACTGGGTCCATATCATTTCCTATTAGTCTTGGTAAATGGCAGGGCACATGGTAGGAATAAACCTAGCAAGGGTATAGTAGCTCATATGCTTCCAAAATTAAGGTTTCATGTCAAAGTAACTCTAGTGGGAGCTTACCTATGCAACACATCACCCTCATGTTTCCTTTACCAGCCAGTAGTATATATTTACGTTTCCCACATTGCTCTTCCTTTCTTTCTAAAACATGGGGAACTTCAACTCCAGACGCACCTCAACCTCCATATTCTCGCTTTAAACTGCATCGATCTCGTCCCTCACCACCGGAGTAAGTGTTTGTGAGAGACCATAGTGAATACGATCCTGGTCTCATTTCATGCTAGGTTATACTTGGTTTAGTATATTTCAGATCCTAGTAGGTAAACATGGCAAAGGAACAATCATCAAATCATTTGAAGGAAAAACCGACACAAAAACAAGAGGGTGATACAAGTCACAATCCAAAGCATGCATATCACAGCCCAAGCCATGACATTTATAGAAGATGTTGTGAGGTTCAACTAAGTTCCAGGATCAATTTTACAAGTTGAGGACACTAAGTCATGGTTCCAAACCGTGACATTTACTAAAGAACTCGTGACTTTTGACAGGTGATTGCACATGTCACGGTTGCAACCGTGACATGGGCAACACAACTGTGACTTGTGCACCTGATGTGATCCATTTCTGGTCGACGTCACGACTGTGATATGACGTGAAACCTTGGAGAAAGGAAGAGAGATATGGCCAAGGGAGGGAGGGAGAGAGTAAGATCAGGGTTGGTATTTTTTTTTTTTTTTTGTAATTGCTTAATGAGTAATCCCACTAACTACAAAATATGTATCCGGACTAATCCCCCTTCCATACCCAACTAACGTGACTTAAGAAAATACTCTTTAATTATTCCCACAACTCCAAATAACCCTTAAATGTCTCAAATAATGAATAACGATAAATAAATTCAGATTATAAAGAAATAGCAAATATTTGTGTTTCTAACATCCCTGCCTCCTTCAGAACAACCTTGTCCTCAAGGTTGAAGCTTCTCCTCCTAATCTTGCTTCCTTGCCTCTTTCGCCTCATCCTCCTAGTGCCCCACCAGCATTATCAAGTCAGGCTTCGTGGACTAGTGTCCAAAGTTGAACTTCTCATTGCAGTTGAAGCGCTTTCCCTTTCTTCTCTTCTGCTCAATTTCTGTGGGACTTAGCCTAACAAACCCCTTTGGTGGAGCCCTAGGCCCCAGTCGAACCACTACTGACGCCGCTACAGTAGTGGTTCCCGCGCCGGTACTAGCTCTGCTGGTTGTACCAATCCCACCACTGACCTGCCCCTTGCTACTTCCTCCCCCACTAGGCCTCTCGTAGCAGCCTATGGTGCTTATCTAGCTCGCAATCTCTTCCTCCATTCGCCATGCAAGTATAAAGGAAGTCCTCAAGGAGTCGGGTTCAAATATATTAAATGCAGCAACTATCTCGGGTCGGAGACCCGCCATACACAGTTCCACCAGCGCCTCCTCTGGTACGCCTTTGCATTGATTGCCGAACTTGAAGAACTCTGCTCTGTACTCCGCCACCGTCCCGATCTGTTGTTGCTTTGTCACCTCTTTGACTTACCAAACTAATACCGGAGCTCCTCCTAAAACGTGGGTTAGGTGATCAAGGTTTGTGCCTCCCCATGCGGTCGCTCTAACCACTCCCACCACTATAGAGCATCACCTTCTAAGTAAAAGGATGCCAGATGCGCCTTCCATTTGGTTCTAGAATCATCTATCAGCTGCATACAACCATAGGTCTGGATCCTCATGACCATTGAATTCTGAAAACTCAATGGTTGGGGGTTTGGCCCTAAACACAAGCTCATCATCTGTATCATAACCAAGATGATACCTGCCATGCCTGCCAATGCCTGGAGTTCCACCATGATAGTCACGTGAAAATTGAGTATGTAAGGTAGCTATTGATGAACCATAATGGGTAATTGGAAGAGTATTATCATTTCCAAATGAGACTTCATCGGGGCCATGGTACTCGGAGTGGAGGGCCATGTTATTGAGGTCGGAGGTGAGGTGATAATTGGATTCGGAATCGAGAAGCCAATCTTGTGGGTTTGGTGAGGCAGCAAGGTAGGCAGATGGTGTAGGTCGAGCAGGATAAGGGTGGGGCACTGACGGGATAGATGTCAAAATCTCTGACAAGTGAAACACATTAGTGGGTTGTTTCCATAAACAGAAGGCAAATACCTGGGGGCAGAGTCGTGGCCCAAGGAGGGCGTGACTGGGGGAAGGGAAGGGCCCATAGGAGGTAGCTGATGATGGGCAATCCCCTCTGCCGCCGCGATCGCGGCCTCCACCACGTCCGCCATGACCATGACCGCCACGGAGCTGGTGTTGTTGTCAGGGGCGGAGCTACATTGTAGCTAGGGTGCCCCTGGGGGGGGGGAGGATTGGTCCGACCCTACGTCCTTAAGGATATTTAGTACAAATTTGATAAGTAGAACTTGTTTTGTGAATTGAGTCATGTAATAGTTATGTGGTCTAATGGTAGCCAAACTTAACTTGTGTGTTAAAGAACCTGGGTTTGATCCACATTGGTTACATAAAATTTTTTAATTATTTTCGCCCCCCCCCCCCCCCCGGGCGGTCTCGAAATCCTGGCTTCGCCCCTGGTTGCTGTAGTTGCTCGACGGGGGAGCGCATCGAAGAGGAGTCTGTGAAACTCGTCGAAAGAGAGAGGCTCTGGTCAGGCTTCAATTTTGCGAATGAACGTGAGGAAGGATTCACCCAGTCTTTTGAGGCAATAGGAGACAACATCGTCGTCAGATATGGGGTAATTAAGAGTAGTTGATCGGTCAGTGATATCCTTTGCACGGGCAAGGTACCTGTCAATAGAATCAGAAACACAAATGAGAGTATCAAATTGATCCTTGAGGTTGTGGATGCCGTGACGATTTGCAACACCATAGGCAGTGGCGAGACGAGTCCAGGCATCGAGTGTGGAATTGCAGCCCACCAGTTTGCAGAGAACAACGTCGGTCACAGAGGAAACAATCCAGGAGAGGACGAGTTGATCTCGTTTGTACCATGCAGTGTAGGCTAGATTGGGAACACCAGCAGCAGGGTGTCGAGGAGGAGCAGGGGAGGAGCCGACAATGAATTGAGCAAGGTAGAAACTGTTGAGAAGGGGAAGAAGCTGAAGTTTCCATAGAAGGTGATTAGTTGGGGTCAACTTGACGGCGATTGGCGGAGGAGCAAGAGTGTTGCCAACGGAAAGAACAAGAGAAGAAAGGGAGTCCGAGGCAGACAGAGGTGGACGTTGAGAAGAACTTAGGAGAGAGAGGAGGAAAAAAAATGGAGTAGAGAAGAAGAGGGGGTTGATTTGTCGTTAGGATTATAACGGTTCTGATTAGAGGTGGCAATTCTCAATCCAATCCACCAATCCATTAAAAATATTCACATAATCCAATCCATTTAAATCAAATCCATTTAATCCAAATCCAATTGGATTGGTGGATTCATGGATTAATCCATGGATCCAAATGACAAATTACAGTTTGATACCTATACTTTTTATATTTTATATTTGGTACCTAAAATTTAATTTTTATACGAAAAATATCATTGAAAAATTACGTTTTGGTACCTAAAATTTTCATTACAACATTTTAGTATCTAAACTTTTCACAGTTTACATATTGGTCTAAGGTTGAGGATTTCATTTAAATTCATGTGTAATCCACCAATCCACTTGATCCAATCCATGAATCCACCAATCCATTGGATCTATGAATCCACCAATCCATGGATCCAATCCATTTACCAGCTTTAGTTCTGATACCATGAAATCTCAGGTGATTCCCTGAGTTGATTGTTATTATCATTCACTACTATATACATTCATGATGGTGCTCGTGGCTAACCATCTGGAGAGATTACAAGGGAGGTGGATGCAACAAAGGTGGAACTAAAAAGGGTCATGGCAACAAAAGTGGAACAAAACACCGAAAGTAGAGGGAAAGAGAAGAATAACGGCGAGGCAGAGGGCAAAGAAGAAGAAGAAGAGGTCAAAATTCATGTTTAATTTCCTGGGTTTTTAGTTGGGGGATTTAGACTCAAATCCCTCATCCAATGGACCCCTCAATCAATTCTAATGCAGAAGCAGTTTTTTCAGAAGGAGGCTTTGGAAAGCTAAACGTCTCTATGCAGTCTTCAGCAAGTGAAACTTCCTCAGTTGTTGTTCTCTCTTTCCATGAGCTCGTCAACTAGGAAAGATCATCTGTATTCAATTATCCAAGGAAAAAGTTAGTCCCCTCCTGCCTGAAAGAGTGTGGCCTACCACCAGGGGAAAAGATAAACTGAAGAGACAACAAAGAGAGATGTTTTCCCCTGTAGCAACAGATCATAGAGGCGAACAAGCTCTTCTGGCTTGGTAACTTTCTCATTTTTGTCATCACGGCGCTTGGCAAGTTTACTCTTACCAATACTAACAGACGGCTATACTCTGTGGTTCTCAGTACTAATACAGGCTACAGCTGTGACAGCATCGTGAAGACCACTTCAGTTATCTTTCACAGTCGGCCTTTCCTGCACTAGTCTGGAACATACGGTATAGGAATCAGTATGAATGAGACTGGAAATGATAATTAATGATAAGTGTAACAAATTGCACTTATGGACAGTGACAAATAAACTATGAATAGTTCCGGAATAAATGTGGCAGAACGCAAAAATCACATACCACATCACTCCGAATATAACCCCTACTCTCATGGTATGAAGTAAAAATGCCGTCGAAGACTGCTAGCCTTTTGTCCACTGGAAGTGAATCTGTAGCTGGACCATGCAAATTCTTCTCTAGCTCTTGAGCTGAAAAATCATCAATAACAAGGGACAAGGGAACCCTTGAGGCCTGGACCATTGCAGTACACTAAAATGATGGAAAAGTAGCTACTATATACAACAATATAACCATGTGAACTGATACGTTCCATTGACTAGTACACAGAGAAAAATGAATGCTCTCATGAAAAAGAATTCCAGGAACTGCATCCTACAGGGCATCAATTCTAGTCAAGAGCTCAGACTGAGTTCTCATTCTTAGAGAATGACAATACTAGTGAACTTAGTTCAACAAGCACAGGTACAGCAATAATATTTATATCAGACAGAATGCAAGGTGCTAAGACTTACCCAAGTTACAGGGGATGCACTAACTTATTTCAGTCGACAAACTTAGAGACACAGTGTAAGCCGCAAGAGATAAAAATAAGTCATATGACCATTGACATTGAACAGTTCATTACTAATACCCACCTCTAGCTACGGCTTGAAGAGATTCAGAGCAGAGCCTTCCATCTCACCAATTGTAAAAGATCATAGCTTTCAGATTTGACTCTAAATACCGGATGTTGAGGTTCCAGCTCCTCCACATGTGCTCCCTGCTGCCAGAAGATAGGCTCACGCCTGCTAAGCAACTCCCAACTCTCCTGGCTTTGAATCATCAACCTTGCCATCACAGGAAGTGCTAACTCGGTCTGGATTGATAATGTCCTCGAGCAGTGTGGAATTCTCAACCCATTTCAACCTAACAACGTCATCTAAAAAGCTCTTTGCTTCCTCTATCTTTCCTGCTCTATAAAGACCATGGATGAGAGACCTACAGGTGCCAGTGCTAAGCCTAGATCCTCCAGTGTTGGCTTCATCAAGCAACTTAAAGTCTTTAAGGAAACCATTTGCTTCACATACGGAATCAATCAGCAAAACATATATGTTTTTACATACTTTTGCACCCTTAAGTGTCATCTGATCTATCAACTTCAAAGCCTTCAAGAGGTTACATTCTTTCAAGCAAGTATCAATAATCAGCTTCCATAGGACCTCATCAGGCTCAATGTTTTTGGCAACCATCTCATCAAAGACAACAAACATTGCTTCTCTTCTCCCTGCACTCTCATAACCGTGTAAGAGTGTGGTGTATGTTAAAATATTTGGCAACAGATTCTTGTTTTGCATCTCCAGAAACAGTTGTTCTGCCTGTTTCATCATTCCACTCTTGCAATGATAATCAATCAGAATAGTATATGTCACTTCATTTGGCACAATCTTCTTACATGCTGTATCCTCCAACAGTTGGTTAGCTTCGCTCAGCATTCCTAACTTGCAGAAGCCGTCAACCAGAGCATTCAAAGCATGTGTAGAGTGAACTCCCTTATGCACCATTTCTAAGAACAAAGATAGAGCTTTCTCCATGTTTCCGGCTTTGCAGCATCCATCAATCACAGCACAATAAACATAGCTATCAGGATGAACCCCTTCAGCTGGCATCTGCTCCAAAAGCTGAAATGCTTTATTTAAACTCCCAGATTTGCAGTATCCATCAATCATTGTAGCATAAGTAACACTATTGCGAAACAGACCCTTCTTTTGAATTTCATCAAAGAGTTCCCTAGCTTTGTCAACTTCCCCGGCCTTGCAAAGTCCACTTACTAGTGCATTGTAAGTTACAATATTTGGACTAACATCTCTTTGACACATCTCATCATGGAGCTCGAGAGCCTTTTCTATATCATGTTGCTTACAGAAGCCAGAAATAAGAGAGTTGTAAGAAAAGACATCAGGTTCCAACTTTCTTTCAGTCAATTCAGAAAAAACTTGCATTGCTTCTTCAAGTTTCCCGTATGTAGAAAGACCTTGGATGAACACACTGTAAGTTTGATTGTCAGGTAATATCCCTTTCTCGAGCATAGATCTAAAAGTTGAGAATGCTTGTGCAGTGTCACCATCCTTGCAATGGCCGTTAATGAGGGCAGTATATACAACGTCATTAGGTTCTATACCATAACGAAGCATCTCTGCAAAACACTTTTGTGCAGCATGTGTTTCCCCTGCTCTGCAGTGTGCATGGATGAAAGATCCATAAGTATATATATTTGGCTTTATTCCCCTCTCGATCATATCGACCAAGTAAATCTTAGCTTCATCCATCTTATTGGCCTTGCAAAGGCCAATTATCACCATATTATAGCAGAAGAGGTCGGGTGCTGGTCCTTTCTGCTTCATCACCTTGAAAATTTCTATAGCCTCCTGAGATCTTCCTTTCTGAACATTACCTTTGATCAGAGTTGAGTAGAACATAAGATTTGGTTTCACACTCCAAGAAATCATTTCCTCGAACAATTTTGTGGCTCCTGTTAGATCTCCAATGTGGCAAAGGCCATTCATGATCAAACCACATGTGTAAGATGTGGGAATCAAATTCCTCTTCTTCATCTCAACCAGTAAATCACAAGCTTTTACTACATTCTGCAGCTTGCAGTACCCATCAACTAGAAAACCGTAAGTGTGTGCATTTGGTTTGAGGCCAACAGCGAGCATTTCACTGAAAAGGGTTTCTGCCTTCTCCATCTCCCCAGCTCTACACATTCCACTGAGGAGCATATTATATGTCAAAAAGTTTGGCCGAATTCCTCGAGTACACATGTCCTGTTTCAATTGAATAGCTTCTCCCAGTTTACCTTCTTTGGTTAGCCCGTCAATCAATGCGGTGTAACAAATAAGGTCAGGCTTTAAACCCAAGCTATACATCCCCTCTAACACCAATGCTGCCTCAGCTGATCTCTTCAGTTTACAGTACCCATCAATAAGACTAGTGAAAGTGTAGCTGTCTGGAACCAAACCCTTATTAGCCATTTTCTGCTTTAATTCTAAAGCTTCATCAAAATTCCCCGCTTTACATAACCCACCAATGATCACATTATAAGTAACCAAATTAGGATTGCAACCCTTCTCTTCCATTTCTGAGAGCAAACGTCTGCCTTCTTTAACATTCCCTTCTCTACAATGTGCATTGATCACATTTGTGTAAGTGTAAACATCAGGCGCTACTTTAGCATCTAACATCCCCTCGTAAACTTTCCAAAACAAATTTAATTTATTAAATTTAAGCAAATCCTTCAGAAGCGTGTTGCAGCACATCAAATCAACTACAAAACCATTGCCTATTGCACCTAAGAAAACATCAACAGCTTGATCCAACAGCCCCCTTTTCTTATAAGCATTGATCAGGATCCCAAAAACCACACAGTCCTTCCCACTAGACTCCCTGCTGCTCACAACAATCGCATCCAAAATCTCTAGATGCGACTTCCCTGTTTCCAACATATTATCTAAAACCCCATTGGCAGGGCCCAAAAGCCGAGCGTCGCAGAGAGTCAACGCGAGAATCGAAAATGATGAGAGATTTCGAGGGATACCTAGGTGATAATGTGTCCAATTGAAGAAACCTAGTAAGCGTAAAGGGTCTTTCACTGGGTTCTGTCTGATAACGGAGTGGACCAACTCCGCGTTCAGCTTCGGCCGGATTGGCGACGACCAGATGAGGTGCTGCCAGTTATGCTGCTCGAGAAAAGTGGCTATCTCCGTCACCATGGTGCTATTTTCAAGCTGCTGGCCGGCGGCGGTGGAGCTGAAAGACTGCGTTTTGAGGCGAGCGGTTATGGCGTTTCCGTTACACTTCTTCAAGAACTGGAGGCTCGGGTGACAAATAACGCCCATATTTAGCCGGCAACGGGGTGATAATAAGAACACAGTCCCCGCCTTACAGTAGATGTAATTTTTCTTTTTGATCCAATTGGGAAGCTTGACCATCAATGGCTGAAGAGCCGCGATGCCTCCCAACGGCTCTCCTCCATTTAGTCGGGCGTCCATTTGCATCCGGTGTAGCAGACGGTAGTGACGAAGGTGGACGGATCGCAAGAAGAGAGCGGCGGCACTGATGGACATCGCGATTCGCGACTCCCGTTCCCTTTCTCACCTTCCGCTTCGTGCAGAAAGAATATGAACTGAGAGAGTGAGTCAGTGAGAGCTATGGAAATTTGGGTGAAGTGCTGCGCTTTAAATAAAGCACGTCTAAATTACAGTCTAAATTACACGATTGATCACTTAGTTTATCAATCTTTTTCACATTTCCATTTGAAATTTTTTTCTTTTCTCACTAGTCATTGACTTTACACTTTCTTTTATCAATGGCCACTCGCCGTCAAACTCTGTTAAATTTGTTTTAAGTAGCAATCAACTATAATCTTTGACGGTTAAGTTTGTTTCTTCTCTGCCCTCACATGTCTCCTTCATTACCACCTCCCGTCGCCGATCTAGGTATCGACTGGTTTTTGTAAGCTTTTACCAAATTAGTAGCTGAAGTGCTTTCCTGCTCTTGAAACCTTAAGGTAAATCCAGTACATAACAGATACGTTGAATCAAAAGAAATATAATTCCAATCAAACATCAATAGGTCTAAGATAATAAATCTCACGGGAAGTTAAGTATTGCGAAGCAAACAGTTATGGAACTCTAGGGTCGTTTGGAAGTTGTGATTCTTCAAATTGATGAATTAGGTCAATTAGTGTATTATCATTTGATGTATTGATTCAATACATGTATTAGGAAAATACTTTGTTTGGAAGGGCAATGATGAAACAAAAAGTAGGGTAGACAATCCCTCGTTAACAATCTCACCTTTTAGTAGAGATTTATAATCATTCATTTTGAGTGATTGTAGGTGGACCCAACAAAAAGATAATGCATGCATTCTAACTCAAAGTGAACCAAAAAAACGACTTAATCTTATCATTACATGTATTTGCTAAATACCTCACTTCAAATCTCAACCTCCAAACGACCCCTAAATTACAGAAGGCATAGATTATAATCAAAGACAAAATAAAAAAATCTATCAACGACTGGGTGTAGTATAGTGGAAGCAAGTAATAAAATTATCAAACGCTAGGGTATCTAGATGTACCATTACTTTACTTACCTCAAGTTCGTTATTTAGCCAAACAAGAATAATGATTAAGAAACTAAACTAACCTAGCTACTCTTAACTAATTGCTAGTTGGAGCTGACTTAGATATGAATCCCCCTAATTAATTCATCCAATTGATATTGAGTACTACCCTATATTGATTGACTCGATTCTTCTACCGTGGGGAATTCTAGACTAGATTGGACTCCCTATTCGAGTTTTCCAACCCCGCTCAATTGCTTTACCCAGAAAGGGATCATAAAGTCGACCTAGGCAATTGAGGAGTTCACAACCAACTCCCATGATTGGACAAAACCCAATGCGACACTATGGGTCAAATCAAACTCATACAAAGACTCATAATAAAGAGTTGAAGGTGCTCTATTGAACATAGGGAGATATTCTCTCTCCTAGGCCAAAGCAAAATTGACATGTAGTAGGATCAAAACTCATGCAATTCATCAAAAACATCAATCAAATAAATAATATGAGTAATTAATCATGGGATTTGTCACATACATCAATAATCAATCTAAATTCTAGAACTAGGTTCATAAACCTAAGTGGAGGAGAGCTAATTCATAGTGAGGAGAGAGTAATATACTAAACTTGAGATCTTCATTCTTCATCTTTTAGGCTTGATTTCTTTGATCCAATCTCAATCCAAAGCCTCAAATCCATCCCCAAGATCACTCAATCTCTCTAAAAACCCCTTTGGGTGTTTTAAGCTGAAAACCAAATTCTCCTCAAGCTCTCCCTAACTCTCCATTTTTCTCCTCGGTGCTGCAAGCTTTTTATAGCAAAGCAATGCGAAGTTCACAGTCTCCTGTCACGTGCATGAACTTTGCATCGAAAGTGTGATGTCTACTAGATGCGCGTCGTTTTCACTAATGAAGTTCACAGTCTAGGTGAAATCAATACGACCCCAGACCATGAAACCTACAATTGCCCGCAAGACGTCTCCGCCTTCCTGGGATCCTGCGATATTCACAGTTTTGGTGAAATGTTCAAGCCCCGACTGTGAAGAAATGCTCTGAACCGTGAAGCATGACAGTTTTCACCACTTGGTCTCATTCTTGCCCCCATTCGTCCCGAAAATCATTCCTCGACTTTCCGCATGTACTAGGACCTAAAATATTACAAAAGAACAACAACCTAGCATAAAACAGGCCGAGGAATGACGATCACAAAGTCAAAAAATCAAGTTATGAAGGGTAAAACATGTATAATTAAGCCTGAACCAAACTCCCCCCACTCTTAACCGTTTGTTTGTAACCAAGCAAACCTAACTCAAACTAGTCCAACCTGCAAGAGTCTCACAATGGTATGCATTATAGATCTTTGGTAGAGGGTCAAGTAGAAACTTTCGATGTCAACCAGAGACAAGAAATCTCACCCCCAACTCGATGTGAAAATACAAACTCGAGTTCGGAAATTGTCGACTAAAGAGGTCTAGACACGTCACATGTGCATGAGATGACTCTAAAAAATGGGTTCAAAGTAATGGACTCAATGAAGGTGCTCCTACTTTAAAGCATTCAAACTTCAAGACTCAACTTAACATTGCCAAACATGGCATCAGACCTATAGTTTTGAAAAACAAGGGCTCAATCTCATGGCAAGAGCGAAAGCGACATTCACTTCCCTTTTCAGGCCTTCAAGCACTCACATTCACAACATTCATTCATACACACAAAGCATAATGGAACCCCCCCCCCCCTCACACATACACACACTTAAGCACGCCATTTTCCTCAATGGAGGAAAGATAAGGAGGGTAGAACGAAGTTACTGGATCAAGTGTGAATGATAGTGGAGGAGACAAGAGGACGGGTGAGATCTGAAAGAGCAAGCCAAAATCCAAAACACAGCAAGCCCACGAAGTTCGAATTATTGACCTGGAAACCAAACCAAACTGAAAGAAATTGCAAACCGGAGTGGTTGGGTTGCCTCTCAATAAGAATTTCTTTCGCGTCATGAGTCGGGCGGTAATGCTCAAATTTCGGTCCACCCCAAACCTCCTTGAAGTTGAGGTTCACATCGATGATGTGGAGTCTCAAGTCCCGAGCATGGGATGCTTCAAATGATGTAAATGGAGCGTGGACTTGGTGTGAATGAAGTCGCCACCCATGAGACATCTTCTTCTTTTCTTCTTCTCTCTTCTCTTTGCCCCATACCATGTAGGATATCATGGATTGATCACCCTTGCATCCACCAGAAGGGATTCACGATGGTTCAACCTTGGCTTGGAAAAGAGCCAAAAAGGGTCCTTCGCCAAAAGTGCATCAAGGTATGGTAGAAAGCTTTGGTAGCACATGTAACTTGTGGAAGTTTCATCCACCCCAACCTCGTCCTCATCTTAGATACCATTTGCATCTTCAACCTTCCTTCTTCGACTAAACTTTGTTCCTCTTGATGTGATTTCTGACTATGGCCAACACGAACTCTGGGCAGCGATGATGGACAGAAGAACCCGGGCCAGAAAGGGAAAATCCCGACCGGGAATAAGGAAGAAATGATAAGGAATTGGGAACAGGAGGACTCCCGACCAAGAAGGATGCATTTCCCCGATCGGGGAACAAAAGATGCGCGACCGGGGAATACTCTCTAACGAGTGAAAATTGTCGTTTTCAATTATGAATCTTTTCCTTTTTTGTCTTGTAATTAGATTTTGTTTCCCTGGACTATATAAAGGCTTAAACTCGAGTTTACAAGAGATTAGTTTTGTACTTTTGTTCAATTGAATTTTACCCTAGTTCATCATGTTGTTGCCTCGTGAATTTTGCTCATTGGTGGATTCCAATCGTGTTGAGTGTGTCTCTATATCAATCAAACATCCATCTTGCTTATGGTCGAACTTCTACCCTATATTGATATAGCCTTCTCCCAGGTGTGAGATTGCACTTCAATTCTGTTTTATCCTTAATCCTAACCCTTGTTCTTGGTTGTGCGACTTCGATAACTACGCGCACCGGTTCCGTGCTCGTATCAAGTGGTATCAGAGCTCCGGTTCCAATAAGTGGCAAGGAGAAGAAGATGACAAGCTTTCTTCAAGATCGGGAGTTGGAGCAACAAGGTAACTTATTCTACACTCGTTGCTTGGTCCAATATAAATTATGTTTTGTGGTCGTTGATGTAGAGATCAAATCCAATTTGATAATATCAAGGGAAATAGCTAAGTTAGGCATAACCACACAATGACATCCTAGTCCTTTCTTTATGCAATTGTATGTGGAAAAGACCTTTGTTTTTGTGACTGAACAAGTGTTTTTGGAGTTCAAAATCAAGGTCTATGTGGATCAGATTCATTGTGATGTTGTGCATATGAAGCTTATTCATGTGGTTCTTGGTAAACCATGGCACAATGAATTCCAAGCACGACAAAACAACACCACCAACAACATCATCTTAAGGCATCAAGGAAAGATCCTGAACCAGTCAGCTTAAGCTCCCAAAAAGAACAATTACGGAGTCTATAGAGTGTGATCCACGCCACCCAAAAACTTCCTCCCTGCAAAAAGAGTAACCAGAAAAGCCTCGCAACCGATGCAACATTCCAAGTTATCAAATCCTTCAGGCCAAGTCCACCCTCTCGTTTAGGAGAAGCAATGATATTCCATGCTACCTTTGCTCTACCCGTACCATCACCAAACCACAGAAAATCTGAACAAATCATCTGAATTCGTGTAATCAGCTTCTTAGGTAAAATAAAGATAGTCATCCAATAGTTCACTAAAGAAAACAACACAGAGGAGACTAATTCTAACTTTCCAGCATACGAGAGCTTATTAGCTCGCCAAGTTCTTATTCTCTTTGTAATTTTATCCACCAGCAACTCACATTCACTACTAGATAGTTTACCTGATAGAAGAGGAAGTCCCACGTACTGGAAGCTTACCTTCCTTGAAACCAGTCAAACTCGGGGCAATCTCCTTAAACTTCTCAGGAATTCCCCCAAAGAAAACCTCACACTTTGCTG